CCCCCCCCCGGAAGCAGGATGTCTGCTGAATTGTCGGCGAGTATCGATTACCCGCTGCCGCCGCTCGATGATCTACCGTTCGCGCGACGGATCGGCCCGTGCCGCGTAGAACGCTCGCTCAGGCGACGCTTCCCCGCGTCGGAATCGAGTTACCCGAGTCTTCCGCCTCCCTTCGATCCGACGATCCCCTCGATCCTCGCGTCTTCGTCACTTTCGTGCTACACGTTCTTTAAGGAATGAACGTAATATATGATTGTGAAATTGACCAATCGTAATTTTTCTTCTATAATTCGACTGTGAATGGTCAATTTCTTAAGTCTTGCGCCTTTAATTCTCACTGTAGGCCCCGCTTTATGCGCGTTTAAAGAACTTACGTGAAGCCTAACACGTGCTACTCGGAGTCGGCTTTGAGCCGGCTTTGAGCAAAAAGCCGTGGAATCGGCGTGACGAGCGCGCGTCGTTTTCCGCGACGACGATGACGATTGGGAACTCATCGATCGCAGCTCCGAAAGACGCTCTCGCGGGCAACGCGAAATCGCAGCATCCGAGCTCGGAGGGACGGAGCTCTGGCGGGGAACGTTCGTTCCGACGGAAGTTTCCTCAGCCTCCGAGAGATCGGATTGTCCTTCTGGATCTGCGCTGAGAGAAAAACAAGTGCTACGCTCAAGCGAATATATTTGCCAAGGAATATCGGAGTGCTCATCTCCGGCAAGCATATCGATTTACAATAACATAATACGTAACATCAATGTTGTAATTTTCCATTTAACAAGCGTAAACGCGATGTAACGCGCGTGTTGTGTAACTGGTCGACTGGGAAATTATAATGTTGATGTGTTGCCGGTTGGTTGACGTTTGCTGGAATTTCTCTTCAAGTTTGGATGAAACACGTGTTACTCGGTACAGCACACTGAGAGGAAAGATGCTATATTTAAACAGTATTTGAATAGTATTTATCTTAGTAAGCGAGAGATTATTAATAATGGCATTGCGACAACGTTGTGTTAATGATTTCTCGCTCAATTGTTGCTGATATTTTATAGCATATTTTAAAACGTCTTCAAATATATAATTTTCAATGTCGCATAGAATATCATTGTTAACAATATATTTGACCCAGTATTAAAAATAATATTTCTACATCATGTTTTCAATATGCAGGGATATTATATTATCAAGTAACAGTTTAAAAACATTTATGAAATACATTATTTAATGATTATGTCAAATTATTAATATGTTATTAGGTATAAAATCTACATAAAATCAGTGTTTCAAAACATTGATTCGGTCGATTTTCCTGTCTCTGCTGGATACTTAATTTAAATGAAACAAGAGACCGTGAGAGTTAAGGGGAGAGTCAACGACTCTCCGATATTCCTTAGCGAGTATTCACTCGAATGCACCTTTTTCTCCTATGTGAAAGAACAATCCGACCTCAGTCCGGCTAAACTTCCAACGATTGCGAAATGAAGCGGTTCCGCTGAACGTGGCCATTTTACAAACGTGGCGTACGCACTTCGTCGACGTGTATTTTTTTTTCGAGTCTCCGGGGTCGCGCCGGCCTGTGTGCTTGTCACGTTCACTGACACGGCGCGTCGTCCCGGGACGATCTATGGATCATCGCGGGCCACCGTCATTCATCTCCCGATCGAGGCCGCCTCCGAAGGTGGCGCCGACGGTCGGATTGTTCGATTTTCCGGATTTCCTTGGTCGCGTGCGTGCGTGTGTATGTGTGCGCGCGACGACGTACCGCATTGCGTCGACGACCCATTTTGCAACGGGGGCGATAAGTCGCTCTCACACGCCGCCGTCCGTCCCTCCCCTTCTGCCATTAAATAATCAATCTCGAGCGGCGCTCTCGCTCTGATCGCGCCTTCGAAGACGCCTTTTTACCTGGCGAGCCCCGCGGGAAGACGCGGCCGCGCTCTCTCTCCCTAATCGTCGCCATTGCTCGTCTCTCATCTTCCTCGATCCTCTCCTCGGCCGCGGCTTAACCTTTCCTAACCCGAATCGATCCTCCCTCGAGCATCCCCGATGCGTACTCGCGAGGAAGAGCCGATATCCACAGGCGGGAAAACGCACCAACGATGTGATCGACGATCGATCCCGCGCACCGGGAAGCGGCGTTTGAATCGCGATCGCTCGGGCCGCTCCGCGTCACGTGACCGCCGGAATCACGTGGCGCTTTGGCGTGCGCGCCGCGGGAGGGCGCTGGATGCGCGCGAGCGAGCGAGCGAACGCGACGACCAGATGCGACGGCTTTCACAACACAGCGCGGTGTTCCGTAAATATGCGAGTTGTATTATCATCGCTCGCGGCTGCGACGACGACGACGGTCTGAGATACGCGATGCTGTGGCTGCCCGGAACGTAGTGCGCGCGTCACGAGCCCCGTGGACGATCGAGCAGCGCTGGTGCACGATTCGCGGCCTCGGTGACCCAATTTACCCGAACGAAGGCTCTCTTTTCTTCCCTTCGCGACGACGAGGAGGACGGACGGAGTCCACGGTTACGACCCTTCTTCCTGCCGCGAACACTGTCTGAAGTCGGTGACCCCTCTGATCGGACGGAAGTGAGTTCGCGATCTTTCCGTATGCGCGAGTTCACGCGATAGAGTAAAGAGTGTGCCTCTCTCGTGCGCGCGCGCGAGAGCGAATTCCGTCAGGGTGGCTCTGGACTCTCGTCGAGTCGACGCGAAATTAGGTTAAGTCTCTCTGTCTGTCTGCGAGAGCTCAACAGGCGGGTCTCTCCCGAATCGGCGGTGTCGTATGACAAGCGTCTCGTCGCGTTCGAATGCTGTCACCCGCCGCAGCGTGTTATGACTCGAGGACGGGGGAGCTCCGGGGGAGCAAGATGAGACATGATGCTTGTCGTTCGCGAGCGAGAACTTCGAGCGAGAAGGAGCAGCGTCACGACCGCCGCATCACGACGACGACAACTGTGATAAACCCCGAGCGATCGGCCAGCGGGATTCGCACGCACATTTATGACAGTACGTGAGAGGAACTTTACCCTCGTCGTCAAGTGCAAGATGCCTCACATCACGCGAAAGTGGGAGCTATTCCCGGGTAGGAATCGCTTCTGTTGCGACGGCCGGGTGATGATGGCACCGCAGACTGGGGTGTTCTACGTCACCGTCTGCCTCATCGCCGGCACCAGCGGATTGTTCTTTGGCTTCGAGTAAGCGTCGCATTCTACCACCGGTCACGAGTTTTACTCGCACGTTCGTAGACGGTAGAGTTAGGGTAGCGTTCATCGTGTATCGTAGTTTACCTCGAGCGTGCGACGCGCGTCACGGACGCAACGAGCCCTGTGTTTCTTGAGAAGTAATTATTCGCATAGACCTCGCATTAGGAGAGAAAGAGAGAAAAAAGCCGAATATAGAAAAGAAAAAAAAGAAACGCTCTTCTCGGTGCGCAATCGACCGAGAAGAAAAAAAAATGACCGAATTCTGTGGGAAACAATTGTCTTCTTTTTTCCAGTTGCCCATTTTTGGCGCTACATATAACACCAGCGATACCAGTGATAGGAGGTTTATTATTTATATTTGTAATGTCTGCTTTGTTCCGTACAAGCTTCAGCGATCCCGGAGTAATCCCACGAGCGACACCTGATGAAGCTGCTTACATTGAGCAACAAATTGGTATAGATATAATTGTATACTTATGCGCATGTAAACTCTTCTTCTAGTCTTGTTCTATATCTCTAATGATACACGCGTGTGTGTGTGTGTGTGTGTGTGTGTGTGTGTGTGTGTGTGTGGGGAAAGAAATAATATATTTATTACAATCTCTCTTTCAAAGTACTAAACTGAAAATATGTTTCTTGTATGTCAATCTACAGAGGTACCAAACAATGGTAACTCCAAAACATATAGACCTCCCCCTAGAACAAAAGAAGTCTTAGTCAGAGGACAACCAGTGAAACTGAAGTATTGCTTTACATGCAAAATATTCAGGCCACCGAGGGCCTCTCATTGTAGCTTATGTGACAATTGTGTAGGTACGTATTCTCTCTCTCTGCATTTTTATTAGCCTTAAGATATCTGAAAGTATCTGTGTAGTTTTTTGTTTTCATTATCAGAAATATATACACACGTACATACATATCACGACTAGTACGGTAATTCTGATATTAATTTAATCACTCAAGTATATGTATGTGAGACAATTTTAAAGATAAATATTCTTACAGAGAGGTTTGATCATCACTGTCCATGGGTTGGTAACTGCGTGGGCAGGAGGAATTATAGATATTTTTATGCTTTTATAGTATCCCTGGCGTTTCTTTGCGTTTTCATATTTGCATGTGCGGTCACACATTTAATTATGCGTAAGTGTTGCCGTTTGCGCGATGAATTCAGTAAATATGCGGAGTATATATCGTTACGGCTAACTAACGTACGATATATATGTATTGTATCATTATATCCGCCTTTTATCACTCATTGATTGTAGTTACGAAAGATGACAAGCCATTTCTGGAAGCTCTCCGAATGTCTCCGAGCAGCGTCATTGTCGGAGTGATATGTTTCTTTTCCGTTTGGAGTATCTTGGGCCTCGCCGGCTTTCACACGTATTTAACCACGAGCAATCAAACAACTAACGAAGATGTAAGCGAATCGTTACGTCGCACAGATTATCGGTTGGCAGTGGCAAACTCAAACTCTCAAACTGTTTCTCGTAGATTAAGGGATCGTTCTCGAGTAAAAGAGGACAGGAGAGCTTTAATCCCTATAGCCAAGGAAATATCTGCGGGAATTGTTTCTACGTATTATGCGGGCCGTCTCCGCCTAGTTTAATCGGTAAGATTTCTCCCGTAATGTTAATCTGTGCTGACGCACATCGCACGAAGTTGATGAAATTCCCTTCTTTATCATATCGTGAGAGAGAATTGTGTCCTTTCAGATCGAAGAGGAATAGTTACGCCCGAGTATCGCGCGGAGCAAGAGAGGGTCGGCGATGAGAATGTGATTACTAATAATAAGACATACGGCACGGTGAAGATTGTGCAGCCTCAGGTACGTTCAAACACGTTTCCTAACTCTTTCGATTAGTCGAAATGCGCTCGGAAGAACAGATGAGGAACATATATATTCGTCTCTTTGTGTCCCTCGCAACAGTCGAACGGCACAACGGTTCAGACAAGCCCCAGCACGGAACTGACAGACTCGATGAACAACCTGGTCTCCGGTCTACATTCGCCGAGAATAGAGTCGATAAACGGTGAGTTAACCCTCCTAAGGCATCCCGCGTCACGTTGCCCCGAGGATCTGCCGAAATATCCGCGCCAGTACATAACAAACGATGCTTACGCCGCGCCGCCGCAGTATCCGGCGCAGCAGCAGCATTGCTCTCAGGATTCAGTGAAACATATTAAGTACACCGAGGTAGATCGGTTGAATCCGGACTTTCAGAAGTCTTATCCGTGTAGATGCGAGGAAGGCTTAAACAAGTATCCTCATAGATGTAGAGAGGAGTATCATAGGTGCTCGGACAACAACCTAATATACGATCAGTGCGTTCAGAATGGCGATCAAAAGTACGCCATTGATCTTCAGAAGTACCCTCAGAGATACTCCGAGGACCCGTTGCGTTACAAGATAAGCGATAATAAGAACGGTTACACCGATCTGCAAAAGTTCCCCCAGTGTTATTCCGAGGACCCGTTACGACTGACTCAGTCCCCTCACACGCTCAGGTATAACAACCTAAGATGCGCCGATCATAGCCTAAAGTATCCGATATCGAAGGCCATTCTGCCGGCGCGTATCTTAGGCACGGGCGGGATACCGATCATCGGGCAGACCGCGATAGGCCTCGTGGTAAACAGATTCGGCTCCGGGCCGCTGACCAATAATTTGTCCTACGCGGAGAACTCGTTGTGTCCGAGCGATAGTACGGAGGAGGATCTCCTGAATCGACGTTTCATTATGAGCTCACTCAGCGACAACGAGGATATTTAACGTCTATTGTAAAGCCCAACGTCTCTCGAATATACCATTTGACTCGATTGTAATACTGGGAAACAGCTATAATTAGTACACTTACCACGGAAGAAAAACGAATCGTGGACTCATAACGTTAGAAAAGAGAGAGCTTTAATATAATTAGATCATTATTCGTCCTCTTCTCTGAAAATCTTACGCTAAGGGAATAGAATCATTTGTACATAAACGGTTATACGATTGTTCTTGATTCCTATATTATCGGGAATTAAAATAATGAAAGAAATTATATATATATATATATATATACATATACGAATACCAAGAGAGAAAAAGTTGAATTTAATTGTTGCGAAAAAGAGATCTATTTATTTTTTGAAGGTACCGTTTTGCATAGATCTTTATTTTAAGGATAATGTGTATATTATGGTTATGGTTGTATATGTGTGGTATACAGTGAGTTAAGGCATTAGACCATATACCAAATTATGTTTGTTCGATATATGCATGGGTTCTTTGAAGTATCTCGTTCCTTAGGTATCCCATCATATTTAGGTTTTACATATATGAAAGAGAGATAAAAGAGAAACTAGTTTTGTCGAGTTCTCGAGATTTTTACTGAACTATCATCGTTTCTCTTCAATATGTTTTTCTCAATCCAAAGATTATCTCATAATTTACACGCAAGTAGATATTTTGCAAATAATAATTATTTTTATTATAAAAGCGGATGTGAAGTTTCATGCGAAGGAATATTCTTAACGTGTATTTTTTGAGAGTCGAATTATCGAGTTCGAAAAAAAAAAGGAATTCCTTTTAGGTATGAATATATATATATATTTTTATGTATATATATATTTATACATAAGTCTTTTAGCAATTAGTAAGCACTTGGACATAACTCAATAAATTGTATTTCTTTGTTGTTTAAAATTACGTCCTGTTATCGAGGGCTCAGAGCGTACTACTCGGTAAGTTCGTTTTATGCATTTTGATCGTCATTGAGTGTATGTCTTTAATATATACGAATGATTCTTCGCACTAGCATTAATAAGTCACGCGTCACGTTTTCTTTTACACTTTTACGGGACTAATTTTGGAACACACTGTGTCGTTTTATACGGTTTATGGCTTGTGACTAATTGTGATTGGTTTATAATTTGGCTTTGATTATTTGGGCAGGAGATAAGAGCGTTGGGCCAATCAGGCCAACAGACAGTACGCGGAAATTGCATCAAGTTTTTTTTTTTCCACGGAAAACTGCGGGAGATCTCATACGGATACATAATGTTCAAGCTCTCACAACGTGTGTACGCTTTTTTTCATTTTTTTTCATTTTACAAAGGTCGGAAGGGGAAGCTTTTGGTTTGATTTTACCTTCCTTTGTTTTATTACGCATATAAGTGAAAGCAGCGTTTGGTAAAGAGAGAGAGAGAGAGAGAGAGAGAGACATTTCATTTCGCAACTGTATGCTCCACCGTTGTTGTGTTTGTTGATTTACGTCACACAGAATGCTGTACTGTAAGTATGTGCATAATGAAAACGCGCATTATCAGCCTGATAATTAAGATTACGAAAAGCTTATATTATATGTCCGTACTGCTGACATTTTGTGCGTAAGAAACACAAGGCTCAACGCTGCACCTTCCTGGTATAATAATAATATTATAAGATACAGTTTGATCCCCCCTCTCCCCCCACGGTACTAAAGAGGAGGTTTCCGTAACAATCTTGTCCTTCACAATTTAATTGGCAATGATTTATATTTTAATGCTGTATGTGCACTTTTTATGCGATCGCGCAGAGAGATCGGCCGAGGCTTCTCACACGCACATCGTCATGATTTTGCTTTTAGGTAGTACTACGAACAGTATAAGCCAACTCGTTACCAACGAAGTACCATTAGCGTCTCTCAACATAGCGCCGATCGACATCGACGAGATCGCTCCGTTGCCACCTCGTCAGAGCGTCGTGGTCTCCTCCGCCCTGGACACATCTTCCATACCGGCGGTAACGACCCCACTGTCCGCGTCTAGGCTCAGACTGTTGCAGGACACGACTATGATCGAGTCTGCCTTAGACCTGGACTCGCTGGAAGACGCGAGCGTCGGTAGGGGAAGCCAGGCGGGGCTCATAAAGATGGGCGTAGTCTAAAAATTCATCTTCTTGTTCTTCGAGCAAGCTGTTTAGAGATTAAAGACGATCTCGGGACTTCTGTCCGGAAAGGATGGACAGCACCTAAACTCAATGTTTTGCTGAAACGACGCGGCAACCCCGCGTCTTACGTTTTCATCTGCGCGCGCACGAGGTAATAAATAACGCGGATGCAATGGTTAGTAAAAAGATTGTCACTTACGAGACGGAGGTTTCGTTTGTTGGGGAGGAGGCGGTAGGACGAGACTCGGGGAGCTTGAATTTACAGTGCGTTACAGAATTACCACGGTGAATTGCTGCCGCTGCTGTGTAACCGAAACGGCCGAATTTATGCTATAATTGAAGTACAAATAATTGTAAACGTTCATTTCTAACAAAAGCTGGACTATTTATTATTGTGTAATTACGCTCGCCTTCGACAATGCGACAATTGTATACGCTACTTTAGTCATATATCTTCCCATTACTTTTTTCAAAAATCTTGCATATACTAAACATACGTAGGTTGCACCTTCCGATTGGATCGCAATATTTTTAAAAAAGACTTCGTGAAGTATTTTATTGTTACTTTAATTAATTTATTATCTACACATTAGAATACTTGCCGAGAATACTTAACTGCAGGAAGATATAATGATGTAAAGAAGAAATCGTATACCGTATACTTAATTTTATTCGTCAAAATTCAAGTGTGGTGCTGCCTAATATTACGTTGTAGGAGAACTAAATTTTTCCCTCTATAATAACGTTAACATAACATTTTAACACAAGGTCACTAGAAATGTATATATTTTGCACTACTTTACACACACGCACACACATACACACGCACGCACGCACACGTACACACACACACACACACACACACATACAAAATATGATATTGGAATTAATGATTTTACTATAATAGATATATAAAAAGTCAATAACTAACACGTGTGTACAAAGCAAGTTTTTGGCACTCGTTTGTGCTTGCACCGAATAGAAAATCAAAGTACACTGCACTACACAGAAAACGGACTAAAAAACGATTTAGAAGAAGAGAGAGACGGGAGTAATTTTCAGCATGATTAAACAAATATTTATTGCAGGAAGTACGTAGAAATTACGATGATTCTTCCGTTGCGTTTCCTGACATTCTTAGAAATGTTGTCTTTTTAACAGGATTTGCCATGTACAGTGTAAAAAGTTTTGTAAATAAACTTTTCATACACTTTAGCATAGTTTTACAGATATAATTACGGAGGAAATTTATTCGAACAATGCAACTAATAAGCAAGCGTTTAAAACATTAGAATTACCACTGCCTGATTTGATCAATAAATTTCGTATCAAAATTGTGCATGTTATTACCTAATTTTTTTTTTTTTTGACATTACGCGATTACACACACTATTCATATGAGTAATACTGAAGAACATATTAATGCTAGTATTTGTCATATATTAATGGTATAAAGAATTGCCATTCTGAAGACTAAACAGATGCTTTCTTTTGTATATAAGACATGTATATGATATTGTATGTACATATGATATAGATGTTATAATAAAATCCATATAATATAATGCAAGTTAAAAATATCTCGTAATGTTTTATTGTATTAAAACGGCAAACAATTCGACGAGCGAGCCATACACCATTTATTTTAGTGACAGTGAAACTTATAAATTTCCGTCGATGTTCACGGAGAGAGTAATTTTCATTCCGTGTAATTTAATAGATATAAAAATATTCATGTAATTTCACGTAAGAAAATACACACATCGCGCTAGCAATATTATATTAAAAACAATATATATATATATATATCATTATTATTAACTATCGGAGTGTATTAAATAATTTAATATTTTTACATCTCAAATTTTACAGACGCACACGGGTTCAAAAAGTATTCCATCTTAAATCTACATCTTGTGTGCGTTGAAAAAAAAAACAGTATACACATTACATTAGTTCGTGTATAATAATAGCCGCTGTCACGATGAAGAATGCAACGCACAAGCCGATATAAGGAACCAGTATTTGGTGAAATTTGGTCTTCTCGGTGCCGTGGTCCGACGATTTGCTATTGACATCACTCTGGCAATAGAATTCCGTAGGATCTGTTCATCGGGAATTCAGTTAAGTGTAACAAACAACGCGTACGTACATACGGATGGAGGCTGTTCTCCAACGTTACTCCCGCGAACGTTAATGTTACACTTTCACTCACCAGCTTGCAGCTCGACTTCCTTCTGCACTTGGCTTTCCTGCACTTTTAGATCCAGCAGTTCTCGCAACGACAGTAATGCTTCTTGCGGCCCCTCGCCGGGAAACAGATAATCCGACAACGTGACCTGATTTTCCGGTAACGCAATCAACACTCTCCTCGGCGGTTCGTGTAACGTGATGTTCTCTGAAAGGAGATCGCGAGTGAAATCGCAAAAAAAAACAAAAAAAAAGAAAAAGTACCGTAATTTAGATCCAGCCGTATCTTATATCGCTTCCGTGACTCTACCTTCGGGAGAACCGTTCTCTTCCTCTATCAAACTATCCCAGTGCATCTCCAGCCTGCTCGCCAGAGATCTCACTATGTCCTGCCTCACCGCTGCATTGGCCTCCTCGATATTGGCCTTTTGATGTACGAATGTCCTACTGACCAATTGCCCGGTTAGTCGTATCGATGCGCTGCACGACGTCACTCTTATGTCTGAATCAGTGTCATCTTGCGACTAACAGGGTAAAGTTAGCGAGATGCCATTAAATAAAATTGACTTCTGTCTCCGTGACGCCCGATTGTAAACCTGGTTTGTACTCACGCATGGAATGTACAGGCTAACTTGAAACGAGTCGCTGCTATCGTTCTTTTTACTCTTACATTCCTTGCTATCTCTCTTCTTCTTGGAAATTACTTCCAATGTGGCCTCCAGCGGTCTGACTTCCTCTTCGATAACAACGAGCGAAGATTCGATCAAATCCGCCACGCTCGTCAAGATATTCTGCGACAATACGACATGTCTTCGGGTTATCCAGTTTTTGAGATCAATGCGCGAGATTATTTCGTTTGCGTTGGAAAATAATTATATTCAATTTAATCAACCTGTAATTGCCTCTTGAGAGTTTCGGGATCCTTGTCCGCGTCAATAAGGAACAATCTGTTAAAATCCACAAGAGCTTCCAGCTGATGCCACTTGGTCGCTCTCTCTTGGAACTTCCAGTCGGCTGGTCTCAATATGCTATCTTTCGTAACATCTATGGACTTGCAAATGTATCTGGAGATAAAAGGATCTAACTGATCTAAACCAATTAAGGTAGAGCGTCGAAGTTCAATACGCTATCCTAGACCGCATACTTCTGTGTAACACTGTTGAAAGCTAATACAAGTTTCTCATCTTGATTATTTCCGCACAGATGCTTGTTATTCCACGAGAGGGTCTTGTGAATTGCACTAAGAACCGACTTAAGCTTTTGTACATTGCTGGTAGTATCTAAAGTATCTTCGGGCCCTGTAATAAAAATACCAAGTACCCACATCCCACCGGGCAACATTCTTGTAACCTGAAATGAGATACAATGTGCATAAATGAGATGCAACGCAACGAATTTTAATTTTTTAACTGTACTTTCCCTCCCTGTGAAAACTGTACACATACATGTTTAGCATGATCGGCTACCCAGCTCATAGGTATATCCTTGACAGACTTAATATATGTGTCAGCCGCATCTTGTTCCGCAGTTGTTGTATAACTGATTAAAGTTTCCTCCACAATATTTTTAGCAAGGGGGGGTGGTGTTTTCGCTAAATGCACTATGTAATCTTTCTGTCCGCTACTCTACAATGTTAAAACAGAAACAAATGATACATTCTGAGGCATGTTACATGCGAACATAATTCCTCGTATATTCGCATGATCAAATTTCTAACCTTTGCTTCTAGGCACCATGATTAAAAAAAAAAACATGAGATAAATATGCTAACAGCGTGCGCACTCGGTAATTAATATCTTATGGTAATTCAATTGGATCTCAACGGAAACGTAATGTGGAGATCGCAATACTTCTCACTCTCTCGTCGCATATGTTATATTAAATATGAGAGCTGCGGTGCACGTATTGACACATGAAACTGGTAGGTACAAAAGATCAACCTGTCCCAAGATCAATCCTATCACGTATCCATCCGGTTTCGCTGAAGACGCTAAGTACGTGCGAAGGTGCTCCTCAGCGTAAATCGTTCGTCCCATTGCCTCTACGTGATGATTTTATGTTGACAGAACAGGGATGGTCGCGTGCCTGAATTCACAATTCGGTATCGCTACGTGCGTTTGTGAGATCGCATACGTGAGATAACATGTCGGTAAATAAATAGAAAAATATTACCTGATTTGCCGTTGAACTGTACCAATTGTTAATAAAAAGATTGCACTATACAAGGATACGAAAGGTTTTCCGATCCATCCTTGAGTGGAGTATTTGAAAATAGGAGGTTTTCACCGACTTGTCGTTCGGTCTGTTCTTTTTAGCTACATCGCTGAACTGGTGCGATAAGTTAGAACGAGACAAATATATTTCGTCTCGCTCTAACTAAAAGAACGGACCGATTAATATCGATAAATATCGTTTAAATTAAACCTCTATAATGCGCTTGTAAGAGAGTCGTAATTAAGTTTTACCTGAAGCTGCAAACATTTTGGAGCGATTAAAAGGAGAATACGATTGGCCGTTTATATGACGTTTCGAAGCGAAATTTGCAGCATGAAGTGGATCCTACCTATGACTCCCTGCAACTTGATGACGCATTGTAGACGAAACTTTACTTGAAAAAATAAAGGTCCGTCTAACTTGTCACTGAGTCATGTTAAGGACTTTGCACAATGCCAGGCAACAGGAATGGGAATAACGCAGGCAACAGATTTCTAATTTACTGCAAATTCTATGTCAATTGCTCTTGTATTCATCGCTCCGCATGAAAGACTGTCCGCCGATCGGGAATTTACTTAACAGTATTCCGCATTTAAAAATGGTAAAAATAAATGTGTATATATTATTGAATAATATATTTGTATATAAATGGTCCATATAAATTTCTCATAAAAATATAAGCTTAATGGTTGATTTTAAGCAATTTCAACCTCGCATTTTAACAATCGTTAAGCAAGATAAAAATACGAAAAACTTATAGGTAACGTCTCAATTAAGTATATCAATTATCTTAAATTACAAAAGTGCGAATAAAAAAATACGTGAAATATATATTTTAGTATAAAATATAACCCATTCGTTACAGATATACAAATTCTTCATGGAAGTATTTTCAAATAACAGTAATAACATATATATTTGAAATCGAAGAAATAAAGAGCAATATATTCCCTTGGAGAATTACACATACACTTACATGTGTACGTGTATGTTATATATATCTATCCCATATATATATACACCTTACATGCTTTTATGTGCATACATGTACATATATACATATAAATGGAAAATATATATGGATTATATTTTGTAATGCTCACAACAGTTCAACATGTTGTAAATATATATATATATATATTTACACACACACATATATATATATATATTATATATATATATATATATATATCGTCTNATATATATATCGTCTATACAATACGTATTATCTTGCTCTTACAGAATTAATTTCACACTTTATCGTAAATAACGGAGCTTTAAGAATCAATAATCAATCAATAAACTAATATCTTTATCACGTATACATCGTAAATACGATTTGGTCGAAGCGATTACAAATGAGAATATAATGAAATTTACAATACTATTTACGATATGACTAACATTTTTACTATATGCATGCATTCAAGGGAGCTTTGGATATCATTTTTAACGTAATCCGCAAGATTATACTTACATTTAACATTTAATCTACTTTTTGTTTCAGACGGAAACGATCAATATTCTATGAATCTTATTTTAGATAGTCCAGGATAGTGTTAATAAGTGCAAGCATTGCTCGAGCCCTTGCTTCGCTTTCAGTTGAACCCGTGCCAAATTGTGCGATAACCGGCGTGGACTCCATGCGCAGGACTATTGCAATGTCCGTCTTACAATTGGTGCTAAGGTTGAATTCTTTCAGCTTGACTCCTAATGCTTTCTTGACGTCTTGGCATGTTTCTTGCACCACGGGCGACTTCAGGTTGCTTAATCTGGTCACGGAGCGCATTTTTATTTTCAAATCGTCTGATATCTTACTGGAATAGTTTTTCTTGAACAAGATGTGACAATCCGTGAGATGACCGTGAGAATACGTGTTCGCCGGGTTATGTCTTCCCGCGTCTCCAGATAAACTACTGTAAGTTGTCAGGGCATTCTTCGATAGTTCTGTGAGAGGAGGCACTGATTTCTTATTCTCGATGTGATCTAATATTTCAATATCAAAAATATCCCGCAAATCATCCTCCGTTGTTCGTCTGCACCCCTTATCATTATTAATTAATACTGATGATAATAGGTCTGCACGATCATTCTTAACTACGAGGTTTTGCTCCTTTATACCGTTAGATTCGACGTGACTTGATTGTGCGCTTCCTGACTGCTTCGTAAATGTTGGTTCAACGATCAACTTTTCCATAGCAAATGTTTTCAAATTATTCTCCGATGTGTTCTTACAGCCACTAATTGCGTCTGACTTGGCTTTATAACTATTTATATGAGCAGTCTTAACTGTACTGTTGTTGTTATTATTAAATCCTGCGGAACTGTCAACCGTTATAACATTTTGCTTCGCTATATTGTTGAAGATGGGTTCAATACAGGATGCCAGTCTTTTGTCTGATACTACTGCTATCTCTGGTACTACGACAGATGATACTGGTCCGGTAATTTTAATATTAGAAATGCCTGTAGTTATGTCTTGCGAATTATCTTGGAATATTTTTCTGTAATTCTCAACTTTCTTGCAAGCTTCTTCCGGCAACTTGTTTAAAGCTATCAAATATTGCAGTGCGTTCTTAGCAGCTTCTTGTTTCGCAGATCTTTTGCAGTGTGCTATGCCTGTCCTATTTAGGCATCCGATATTGCTTTTTATTGTAAATGTCTTCATGTGGCTAGGACCACTTTCACTAACAAGTTCATATATAGGTAGGTCTAGGCGATATTGTACACAAAGTTCCTGTAAGGAAAAACATCAAGTTACTTTAAGTATCATTTAATAATTGGAGTGACAAGCAAATTAACTTACCTGTAATAATCCAACATAGTTGCATTCAGGATACATCTGTGCATATGCTGGGGAAGAAATATTTGAAGGGGAAGAAATATCATTTGATTGATTAATATTCATTGTCTGGTACAATTTCAAACTTTGCATGCTATTCTCAGTTTGGTATCCTTTTGAAGGTAAGTCAACATTCAGCAATGATAACATATTTAGCGCAGCATTATGTTTGGCTTCCTTTTTGTTAGTTCCTGTACCAGATGCGCTTAAATTTTTACAGGTTACTTCACATTTAAAATGAAAGGCATCGAACGAACAAAAATATTTAGGAGCATAACCTTCCTTGACTAAGATTTCTTGAAGAATATTAATCGGTGATTTACTCATCTTCGGAGTCTGAAAATAATTTAAAAAATTATACAAAAGCAAAGCCATATCTGTACAGTTGGATTAAAGAATTTTTTTTTCAAGTATGTTTCCAAAAGACATCTTTTCAGATACATTCTCAAAGACAGTGATGAAGAGAGTTATTTCCCTTTTCTTACTTCCGAATAACTACTGATAATTATCTAATCTAATCTAATAATAATGTATCCAATAATTAAGAAAAACAAAGTTATTGACAATGACGTGTACCGCTTTATATATCAATCCAGAGATACACAATTTTCCAATTGTTCAAATATGATTTTTCTTCTGATATACAAGTTCTGATAACGATACAGACACCGCGTTGTAACTGCGTAGAAACATGTCCCCCATGGTGATTATTGTGAGAGAGAGAGAGAGAATGAGATTTGTTTATTTTGATTTATATATTTCAAATACAACGGATATGCGTATTCGAACGTTGGAAATTTAAATGCAAAATGAAAAACGAAGTGTTCAAATGCACAATTCGACGGAATGAAACGAATTACGAATATTCGTAATTAAGTGCTTCGTACCTGGAGATACTTTGGCGAAATTACATCGGTCGAAAATTTCTTCCAAGGTCGAAATGAATGCCTTTCTCGCGATGTATATACAATCGATCGCCTACTGTAATGCAAGTTCCAAATCCATTTCTCCTATATATATATATATATCTTTGACCGGTATTTCTCCTCTACATTGAGTTCGTGTTTGTACACGACACTAACACCGAGCGGTACTGTTCTTTCGCTAATATCATGGTGTTCCTGGAATATGACACATTCTTCCGATTACGCCAACTTCGGCGGATTTAACCAATCGCTTAATGGCTACTGCCCGCGGTAACGTTTGCCACGCGCCAGAAGTCGCGTGGGAGCCAATCAACATGCCGGTTTTCGGTAAGAACCGGAAGTTTGTTACACGTGCGAGAGGAAGCCGTAACTCAACGGAATTGGCCAATCGCATTGTCCAATTAGCTAACTGATTCGTATTAAGTAAATCGTATTCGTATGATTGGCCAATTCCGTTGAGTTAACAGGCCGATTAGCCCGTATCGGAATTGAATTGAAATCTGATCAATCAGTGGAATTCACTTGGTTTCACTAAATTTGAGTTCGGTTAACTTTACACTGATTGGCCAAATTCAATCTCAATCTCAATCCCCAATCCGTAGTCTGATACAGACTTTACAAAAGCAGTTAACCTACCTCGACGTCTCCTATAGTCCGTTCTTTTCAACTGCACTGCTGAAACAATTTACTTCGTCCCGCTCTAATTTATTGAGCTTATTAGTTCAGCAGTGTTACTAGAAAGGACAGACCACCACTGTCAGCGGAGAAACAGGACGGCGGCTCTCGATATATCGCACCTATCGATCTGTCGCTTCTCTATTGCGCGCGCGCCACTCAAGTAATTGAACGATCGCTGACGCAGAGGATGGAAGATTTAAGAGTCAAAATTCGACAGTTTAACAGTTTAATGACGATGTATTGATTTGCGGGTAAATTTTGCCCCCCCCCCCCCCCTGACGCAAAGCGCCATTCGNTCGTCGATATCGTCGTATTTACAATGACAACATTTATTAAAGAATAGTAAATCGGCGTATCGATAACGGCAATTACCAATCGCCCCTCGTCGATTCGATCGTCAATAAAGTTGATACTTCGGCGATTCGCAAGTCTCTTCAGCGCCTCCCTGCGATGATCGGTGCGGAATACGCGTAAGACGCCGGCTGAGCGGAGTAAGTGAACGGTGCGGCTGCGAGTGCCGCAGGTGCGGCTGCGACTGCGGCTACGTACGGAGCGGCTATGGCGTGATTGATGGCGTGCGCGTTGTAACTAGTAGCATAAGTCCCGACTGTTAAAGCTGCTGGGACCGCCGCTGGGACCGCCGCCGGTATCGCGGCGGCCGGGATTGTTGAAAGCACTCCGGCGGAACAGGTTGCCACAAAGCCGAGGAGGACCTACAAATCAATACGTTATATTAAAATTAATATATACTAAAAGAAATGTTTCTAATGAAAATGGTTAAAATACTATTTTAATATATAAATATGTGCACATAATAAATGTTAAATTTGTATTTATATAATAGATAAGTGAATTTATATATATATATATATATATATATATACGGGGGTGTTCAAAATCGAGAACAACACCATGTATATACAGGGTGTCTGGTATGTTTCGTATGAGCACTCGTGCGAAGGTAGAAACAACGGGTTAAACTCGTCATTCTAAATAGCGTAAATTTTTCACCTGAAAGCGGAGATATTAGGGGAGAGAGGGCACGATACCTAAAGGCCATAATATAGCTTTCCCTTTAGCAATAAATAAGAATTATAATTAACGTTAATTTTCCGTATAAATGCGGAATATTGAATTTTTCACGCAAGTACGACGAAGTAAGTCGCACGCTTATCGTTCGTGCATCGAACGTTCGCGAAGACTTACGAGGATCTTGGCCACCATTTCGATCGTGTTGTGCTTGTAATTGTCTCGCTGCGAAAACTGCGATGCTATCCCTGGACTACCTCGCGGTTTTATATTCGCGGCGTACTTTCCCTCGCGAATCAAGACCCTCCCACTGCGAGCCCACGATTTGTCGCACGGCTCGCGGGGGGACGAGACATATCCGGAATATCTGATCGCGACCGGTCTACCGCTTCGAGATCCGGCCGAATTTTCGTCATCGCTCCTAAGGTCGCCGCGCTAATATAAATTGCGATCTGAGACCGACATAATGACGCCGCTTATGTAAATTATATAATGCGTGTATCATAAAAAAAATGATATATAGGTGCGACGTGAATCGATAATTGATTATTCGGCTCGAAACGGACGAGTCGACACGTGCCGGTTTGATAATGCAAGTCTAATCCAGTCTGATGCAATCACGTGGCCATTGTTGTTGTCGCCTTCGTTTTGTGCAATTCAGACAGAGCGAGTGCAAACTTAAGTGAAATAAATTAAATAATTGGGATCGAATACAGACGTATTTTCTGTGTTACGTTTTCTTCACAAATACGGAGAATAATACGATCTCTACCGTCGTCTCGTCCAATTGTTAATCTTATTCCCGCAAAATTCAGAAACGCAGGAGTAATTTCTTCATCATTCGATTCGAATTCGAAACTTCGCATCACTGCTCCGTCCTTCTCCCACAATTTTTTTCCCCCGTCCAATCGGCTCGCAAACACCGGCGCGTCCTGAAGAAGTCAAGAAAAAAAATGAAAGAAAAAACAAAACGCCCGAGATCAATGATCGACTCGTGCCCTCGAACGAATATTTTATGTAAACGATCCGCCGGCATGTGTTTTCGCCGTGTCGCCGTGACGTGTGATCAGAAGCAGGATATGCCTTTCAAGGTTGCCGACGAGGCGGTTGGACGAGATTCGAGTTTTGCAGCCGCATCGTTGAAGTAATCATCAGGCTGGAGGCCTTTTTCTCTCTTTCTCGCCCTCTCGTCTCTGCGTCTGTCGCGGAGGAACAGGAACTCGCGACAACCTGAGCGATACATCCCATCTCCGCGGCGTCGAGTCGCGCGCTTTCGATCGATCCCGGCGCACTTTCCTCAACTACGTGATCCCGATTGACCGAGGGAAGAGCCTTACGGGGGCGTTACATAAACCATCGGCTCAGCCCGGGTTACCTGTGACCCAGAATGCCGCGTCAAAAGTCGCGACTTGACTCGCAATCACAATTTCGTATGCGTCGAAACGTTCCGTGGTAACACGCATTCGTTGACCGCTTACATTGGCCGATGTTACATCGATTCGAACATTGACGAACGATGTAACGCCAATGAAATATGCTACTAGGGGTGTCTCGGCTCGTCGTCGGCGGGCAGATCGCTGATTCGCCGGCTGGCGCGAATGTGCGATCAAGGTCTCTCGATCGAGAGATGTGAGTCACATTTCTTAAGTTGAATTTTCGCGTAAACAACAACGAAACGATAGTGATCGTAAATAAAGGGATAATGATAATACAAAGTAATAGTAATTTTGATGTAAATAAGATCTTCCGTGGAGTCGTTTACGGTTAACTTCCTTGTGACGCAACTATAAGTGACAAATCCTTCTTTCGATTAATCGTCTTCCTTCGGACGGACAGATCGTCGAGAATCGAGAATCTTAAGGTATTCTTTCGCCGTATCTGCGCAAAGGGGAGAGGAGGGATATCATTTCGTATTATTTATTCGTATTCTCTTTATTCCGGGAATCCGATCAACGCGAACAATGATTGGTGTAACTAGCGGTGACCTGGTCGTTAAGCGAAGGTCATCGTTAAATCGTTGCACATCGGTGACGAAAACGTTTCGACTTCGAAAGGAAAACCACTTGAGGATGCTCCTCGTGCTCGAGGCGAAAGAATCATGTCAAGAAAGAGAAAAGGAGGTGCGGTTCGTCCCGTCGACGTCGGTTACTTAAGAACGAGGGGCTAGTGACGCCGGTGACCTTGACGAAGTGCCAGCTGGGGGTCCAACTAAGTAGTATAAAGACCTTCGCTTTTAGATGCCGAAAGCAGATTCCTCGATCTTCTTCCCTCGCTTCAAGCAGCGCTCCCGCACGTTAATCCGTACAACATGCTCAAGCTGGTGAGTGTCCCGCGGCAAAATTACTCAAAATTCCGAATTCTCTCGTTTAACATCATCCAGAAGATACCTAATTTCACAATACAGCTGTTGGAACAATTAGAGATTATTATTTGACTAACTGTTGAACTATTATATCAATTATTACTATTGAGTTGTTTGTGATAAGTTTGATCAGTTAGTAGGGATTCTGACGAAAAATATTCCTTGTTCAAGATAAACATTACTTTCAAAAGAAAAAAATTAATTAATTAAATGACCGTTCTTCTTCGCGGTACAGTAATATCTTTGGCTGATATTTGAGTAATAGAAAATTTAGCCAATTGGGTGTTGTTCCTTCATGGAAAATTCGCAGAGTATTCTCCGTCTAATATCCTATCTCCTTCTCTTTTTTTCTTTTTTTCTTTTTTACGACGAAACGCGGATTACAAACTAAACGAGCTCTCTCATCGAAGAAGATCGACCAGCACCACGGCGTCTCGCCGGGGGTTGCGCTTGAAAAACGTGTACTCGCACGCTTGTTTCACTATCCGCCGGACCACCGGCACGTATTTGCAATCTTTGCTAATTAACGAGTGAACCGACTGGTTCTTCTAGTGCATCCTCGCCGTCCTGCTGGCCGCCGTTTCCGTCGCGCCTGCACCTGCGCCGGGAGCTCTCCTGGCCGTTCCGGCGCCGATCGTCACCGCCAGCAGTAGCCAATACGTCGCCAGAAATTACAACACCCTCGCCGCGGCTCCGCTCGTTGCCGCTCCGTTCGCTCCACTTGCAGCGGCGGCACCGATTGCAGCGGCACCCTTGGCTTACAACACGCACGCCGTCGCGCCCGCCGCGTACTCCGCCGCCTATTCGCCGTCTATTCTACTGTAAACTCGGGATCTCAAACGAAACATCATGCGGATCGCCGGATTACGATTATCGCGATCGATCACTGGACCGACGGCTAATCGCTTCGACCGCATCATCGCGGCGAGCGCGACGTGTTATTTTTGTGCAATATTAAGTTTCAATAAATCAATTTTATTTACCTGAATTCTCGCACGTTTTGCTCTCTCTCTCTCGACCTGTGACACACCCTTGCCGACGAGCGACACATTCGCGGAAAGAAACAATTTCCAGTTTCCTGCAACTGAATAAGAACCGGAAATGAAAATTCGGCGACGAAACATGACCTTTGCGTTAAGGGAGGTTTCTATTTCAGATGGTTGATTTTCAAGACCATTTTTAAGAATTTCTTTCCCATCAAATGAAATCGATTAGAATATTGACGTTTTATACGCATGTTTGCGCATCTTTTAATCTTGAAAGAATTTAGATGTATTATATATTGCGTATAACAAAAAATAAGCTATAAGCTGTTAAGACGATTCTATAAACATTCTATTCACAAAAAGTTCCCCATCTATTTATATGATCGACGCGAATAAACGCCCGCGAATTCAAGGAGTGGCGATCGTGATTAAATTCCCGTCGGGCAAAAATCGCCGCCAATAATTGACGACCGCCTCCGTCATTTTCGGATTTTTCACGACGGGTCATCAAGTCCGCGCGACAGATCGCAAATTGGAATTCGACCTTGGGTCAAGCGTGTTTCGAGACTACTGTACGACATTGTTCTTCCTCGTTTTCTTCTTCTTCTTCCTCTTCCTTCTCTCTTTTTCTTGAAACCGCAAGTACGGCCGATCATTTGCAGGCCGATGCAGGTCTTCATTGACCAATCACTCACCTCTGTCATGCAAATTAAAATGTTACATTAAACTGCCTCTCACAAAGAATTACCGCCGATTTATGCGACTTTAAAAATTCATAAAATTTAACGCCAAATTTCTACAGTTTGGAGCGCAAAATTCGTAACACTTGAGATCTGTATTCGTATAAATAGAATGAATGCTTCTTTTGAAAATCAGGCGATCGAGAGTTAAGTCTCTCTCTCTCTCTCTTTCTTCTTTTTATTTTGCGTCGTACATGTTCGCCCGCCGAGATGCTTCCGCGGCTTCGACTCGCCGCGTCGACATCCGTGCGCGGGAAAAGAGAGTAGTCGGACCACGCCTGGCCACCACGGGCGACCTTGAGGGATCATCACGCCCTTCTCTGCTCCGTGTGTTAATGCACGGCACTATAGGTCGCAACAAAGCTCCATTGGTCGGCAGCATTGGTCGAGGAAAGAAACGGAAAAAGAAGAAATCGCCTAGCGCGTGCGTTCGTTTTCCGCTCGCGAGACAAGGCGATGCCCTCCTTGAAGGTGCTCTAAGAAGAAGGTGCAAAAGGGGGGGTCCCCAGGAGTAAGGTGGAGGTAAGGAGACTTGGGCTAGGATTCCTTACTCCTATATAAGACGTACCACGTCGTATTTTGGAGTATTATCGTACTGACTACAAGCCAGACGGACACACAAGCTACAACATGTTCAAGCTGGTAAGTTAAATGGAGCTTATAACGAAATTGGGTGTCTATTCCCAAACAGCACACGATATCCCATGGACGTTCTATGGACATCTTTAGGACATTGAGATGTCCTCACAGGACGTTCCTGGGAGATCTGTACTGCCTGGGTTTTGTCTCTCTCTCTCTCTCTCTCTCTCTCTCTCTCTTTCTCTATTTTATTTTATTTACTTGCCTTTACTCTTCGTGTTTAATTTTTTGATATCTACACCGATGAAAAAAAACGATTGATTGAAAATTGGCGGTCACCCTTATTAAAAAAATATCGTGTCCACCAAACAAATCAGCGCAACAATATGTTGTGTTAATATAATATAATAATATAATTGTTTATCAAATCGTAATCGTATAATTTGATCAATGGACGTTGTGTTGAAAAAAAAAATGGTTCATTTATTAAAATTCCGTTGAATCTACCATTCTTTTTTCTCAGTCCATCGAATTAAGGGGATTATACTCAAATTGTTTTCGCTAATTGAAAATCTTATCGACACATGAATATTGATTTCCGAATAAATGTGAAAAAATTTCGGAATCTTTCATATCAGTAACCGATTTTCGTGCCATTCCGTATTCTACTGATCGACACCCGCTGAGTGTCGTATACTGTGCGCGATGAGTCTCTCTCTCACGTCGACTATTATTCTCGTAGCTCTGCTTCTTCGCCTTCCTGGCACTCGCCACGGCCGCGCCCGCACCTGCCCCCGCTCCGGGCGCGATCATCGGCGCCCCGCTGGTCACATCCTATAGCGCGCCTATTGTCTCCGCGCCATTGGCCTACAGCGCCTACAGCCTGCCGACTTACAGCGCGTATTCGGCGTACTCAGCTTTGCCGTACGCGTACAAGAGCTATGCGGCTTACATCGCTTAAGAAGTGATCGCCACACTGGGACCAGAGACCGCATCATCAGAACCATCCAGGACCACCAGCATATCCAGTCGATCGATCCAGCATGCAGCGCGCGCGAGATCTCTCCTACCGAAAGCCGGTATCATCGGATGCTTGTCTCGCGTCTCATCCCTCTTTCATTCTCCCATCTCCTCTCCGTATTCATCTCCGGCCCTTTTCGTCCGTTCAAATAATCCGCATTCGCATTCATGTGACTCAGGATTAATAAAACCGCTTAAAAGCAGTTCCGTTCTTTTTACTCGATCCATCACCTTGATTCACTTTGGCTAGGCATCTCTAAAAGTGGAATAAAATGATTAAATAAACAGGCAAAATAGTTAAGTAATCTTAAATATCTATAATCAACACGTAACAATACGAAAAATATAGAAAAATACGTCATAATCATTTTTCTAGTAGCATGCATTCGTGTGTATGTGTCTATTGCGTGCGTGTGTGCATCTACTAGGGTAGTTTGAAGTTTGGTAAAAAAAAAGCAAATAAAATACACTGTTTTGGAAAAAATCGATTTTTTTTCAACAATCTTCTTTGAAGGCTACACGCTTGGTTCAGAAAAATTCCAATTTTTTCATTCCGTCTGAAAGATACCATATCAATATATACGTACCTTCTAGCAACGAAAAGATTTTCTACACACACAAAGTACAGGAAGCCTTGTCCTAAAGACGTCTCTACATCCTAAGGACATCTAAAGGACAACCCTCGGATAACGTGCTCTATGAGTAAATATATATAACCACAATATAACAACAATGTTATATTACATGTTATATTTATGAGTGAGAAATTACAAAACACTAGTATCTTATCGGCAACATTTTTGTAATATTACTTGTACAACATTCAGTTATATTAGGGGTATATAACATTTATGTAACCCAGTGTTTACCGGGTAATCATGAACACGTTACGTCACATTACACCCTTCTGAATCCGATTTGGACATAAATGTTTCACGTTACTTTGACTAATTAATAAAGAGACGTAGAAAAATAGAATGCGCGTGTGATTTCATATGTAGACTATTTATTTTGGCAACTGTAATCGCTATCACTGTCATACCGTCGCGGACAATAATATTCCCGGTAATGACTTTCGTCCGTGCGTGTTTCGCCGAGATTATAAATTCTTCGTTAGTCGTAGTAAAAGTCGCCTTTTACGGCAGTTGTAACATACGTATGCTCGAGGGAGTATATACGTACGTATCGAAATTTTGATTGCAAAAAATATCGCGATATGAAATACATATATCTGTCTTAAGAAAGATACATTTTATATCGTGCTTGGCGGCGCATTTGTATCGTGACATGAGAGCCGACCATCTGCTGATAGCAACAGATATCGTGTGAAATACTTAAAGAATCCATTGGCCGTTGATCGTGCCGACCTAGGCGAAATATGAGTACGTTTTTCTCGAAAAAATAAATACATTTAATAACGTAAGCATCTGTATCGCTTTTTGATTAGAAAGTATTTCGGGCTCCTATGGCTCTTAGGAGCCTTATTATCGCTGTCCGAGCTATGCGGCGATACTCGGTGACGGACTTCATATATTCTATATACATATTCTTAAATAAAGCGTATTATTCCTCTTAAGTTTGATTCGCAACATGGATAAAGGAATGTTTCGCAAATGTGTCTATATATACAATAACGTTATCGAACTTTCAGCTTCTTCTCTAGAAGAGAGATGAAAACTGGCAAAATTGGCATAACGCTCCCATGACGTTCCTATATATGTTAACAAACAAAATCTCATCTTAATGTTAATTTACATCACAGAAAACATATGTCTATCGGATATTTCCGAATTATAGTTAAAAAAAAAAAAGGAAAATTGTATTCATCAATATGACCGAATTCTTCTAACATCACAGTGATGCTGAGCAATGTGTATGTAAAAGGCTGATTGCTTGTCATGTTTTTTTTTTCGAGTAAATTGCACTATCTCGTAAAACGACTACGCTTCCCACCAGATAGGATTCGATACGAATATCACGGCGAGAAATATCCCGCTCGTCGACCCTGTAGCGGCGTAGCGCCTCCTAGTTGACACCCATTGCAGTCATATACAACTTCAAACGTGTCGAATGGGCTTCATTATTTAACCGTCTATCATTTTAAAATCTAAGCTCTTCTCCGGCGGAGGAGATACTGAACTTAAACGATATGCGTCGCTCCAGCGGTCTGCAAGAGATTCACGCCGTTTCTGCCCTCCACGTCTGTGGACTCGATTTGTTCTTTAAGTAATTCGAGTTCCCGTATGCCGGAAACCGTAACTTCATATTTGTGTGCCACGAGACTTCGATAAAAATGTATCGCGAATACGATGAAGATTATCAGCACCGGTATGAGCAATATACAGGCCGACCATGCGGCCTTTTGCGAAAAGTCGTAGAACTTCACCCAGCAAAGTATCGCGATCTCCAACAGGAACAATAACAGTCCTAGCAATGTGGAAGAGGCCCATGCTACCTCGATGTACCAATGCAGACGTTCGTGCGGCGACTCGTGCACGAGGCTTATGCTGTGCAAATTACAGACGGCTTCTATGTTGGGTAGAATACACGTCGATATCATGAGCGCCAACATGTGCACGGCAACCAGCAAGGTCGTGCACACAGCGAAGGCGATCAGCATTCCTGGAGGAACCTGCGTGTCGGAATTCAGCTGAACCTCCACCATGGCAACCTGCCGACAGATGTGATTGTCTTTAGTACTGATATATTTGTCGTCCATCCCTTGTCGCACGCGAGTCATGCCACTTACTACTCGTTACGTTATTCGATCAAATAGTATATTGAGAAGGATAGGGAATCGAATCATTAGCGCATACATGATTACGCACGAAGGGACGACAAACTTGAATGTTTGTAATAAAATTACACACGAAGAAAAGGAACATTCTTGTCCTGAGAAAATCCGTATTTTCAGCATATACATGTTGAAATGAGAAAAAAATAAAATAAAGTTGACCAAACTCAATTACGTTCCTGTTGGACATTTTATTGATTCAACAGCACTTTTCCCGTGAATATGAAACAACCTAGTCAACGCAAGCAAAAAGTCATTACGTCGTTAAAAATTAAAAATAACATTTCTATGCCATGATTTTAATATTTAGGAATATCGTATTATCAAGTAACAATTTAAAAACATTTACAAAACATTATATGCCAAAATGTTTATAAAATCCACGTGAAATCAATGTTTTAAAAAAACTGACTTAATGTTTCTCGCTTACTGGGAATGATCACATCGATTAGAACATACAAGTCTTGAGTTGACACTTAATCTATCCCGTGAATGTATATTTCGTGTCATTTTACGCTGATTAATCATCGTGGAAAACGCGTGTTTGCGCGCACACATCAATTTACCGAGCGACCTTGAATAAAGGAACGAAGGAATTGTGCGATTGAGCTTATTGTTGCTGAACACTTTGCTGTGCCAAGAATTCTTCGCGTGAAAAACAGCTTAGTTCCCGCCGAAGTCTTCGACCCGACGTTCTACTTCGACGTGGAACGAATATAGCCTGATGTTTCTGTCAGAAGTAGAGTAATAGTGAAGCTTAATCGCATTTTCACCCACTTAGATTTAGTTCTAGACCGCAGGTGCGAAGGTGCGGAACCTCGATTGAAGGCTTCGATAGAAACTAGATCAGTGTTAAGGACTCCCTCGTCTTACCATAGCGAAACCGGAGAGCAGGGCTGACGTTTTACTCGATGCCTTGAGTTTGGCACGGCTGAGCTGTAGTTTCCTCCACGACAGATAACTCGGTGTGTGAAGGCCATCCCCCGACTGTGACATCGTCGACTGGCGAACAGAACGAACGCAAATGCATACGGGCAAGTTAGTTCGGTCTGGAACGGAAGGGCGATTGTATCGAGAGGGAAGAGGATCGAGCCGACTCGTGTCTTCAGTATCTTCGTGAACTGAAAGGAGGGAACTAGAAGCGCTTTTGTGACATTAATTGTGACTAGACGAGACAATCATTGCACCTAAGCATGTAAGAAAGAGATAGGCACATACCGGAGGTTGATAGCAACGTGGCTGGTGGGAGCAATGGGAGAATGTATGTCCGCGAAGGAAAAAAACCAATGGATGCTGAACGAAACAAATAAAGAGAATTATAAATAGGAAAAAAAACTAATGAGAACAGAGACGGAAGTGCGACGAAGATTCGCTCGCGGGGAAGCGGGGATTTACTACTGGCGTAGTGAATAATGGGTCTCGCAGGAAGTCTCCGGCAAGCGTGAGAAAACACACGCATGAGGATACACTCGCGCCGATTGTGACTTTTGCATTTAATAACGGGGCGACACGTTATTCGTGTATAGTCTTTTCGAGGACCTGATATTTCATTTTTCGACTTGACGATTTCCACACTCGAGTATTTTCGACGGGTCAGACGGACGATAATGCAAATGAGACTGTGATCGTGTGAAAATGTGTCTCAAGTATAGGACGCATACGAATGTACGTTAAGCAATACATTTATCAAAAAAATTAGTAACAATAATGGGGATACAATTTCTTACTTCCCGCAAAATATATTTTCACGTATCAAAAATAATGATATGCAAATATGAAAAAAATTTCTCTTCATTTTTATATAAAACTCTGTATATAATAGTGGAACACAAAACGCAATTCTTTGTATAATTGCAAAGAAGTAAATCTCTCTCTCTCTTCAAACATTTCTATTATTTACGTGTATATTTGTATTATTTTTCAAAGTCGAAATTTTATATTACCATTTCTTTTTACGAAATCATCAATTACGAAGCGTGTCAATAAAGAGAAATAGGATTACGTGAAAAATGAGATTAGAGGAAAAACGTATCTAACGTCGTATCTATAGATATACATTTAATAATTGTTAATTTCTCCATAAGTTCATAATGGCTTAATGGGTTATAAAAATAATTAATACGGAACTTTTTTTATTATAATAAAACAGCTAGTTAATCAATGCACTGTTAAATTTATTAATGTACAAAAGATTGCAATACTATAAACTAAAAAATTATATCTTGCGAAGTACTTAACCATCACATTTTACACATAAATCGCACAAATGCAGGTATTATTCAAAATTCTGCACCTATAATTTTGTTTTCACGTGAATGCGAATAATTAGAGGGGGGGGGAAAAAAAAAACTGGTATTACGATGTTATCGTTATAAGCACATCCGGATAATTACCAATACGTAATGCGTAGTACGGATAAAGCATCGAGAATTTGCGACTAATTGCACTCAAAGCTGGATATGGTAATGCAAGTACTTGAATATAATCGTATTCATATAATAAACGAATTTAATACTTTCCAACCCAAATTACAAATATTCTCACGAAATAATACATAAGAAACAAATATATTTTATCGTGTCAAGTTTATTTTTTCTTTTTTTCAGTCCAAGAAACTACTGTTACTACTAATTTCAGTTATCGAACAGATTCTTATTATTAGAGTTTCTGTTATTTGTGATAAATCTATCCCCTCAACAAAGCAGACCAGAGGAAAAAAATTATGGGAACTGTGTCAAGTGGAAGGGTTCAACAGAGGATTTTAAGAAGGCACTATTCACTCGTCGAACGAAATTAAACACAATAAAGCTAATGATAGCACATCGAGGCTCATCTAATCGATTATATCGAATGATTAACGCGCAGCATCGTATCGAAGTGGCGCTGGATATATGTGCTATTAGAGATTCTAAGAAAACGGTTGCTCTATATATATGCTGCTATTACGCTTAATATATTTATAGAAATAGAAAGCAAAGTTGATTTCATATTAGTCTGATTTTTATAATTGCAATTAGACGTAAAATTCGAACGCGCTTACATTATCTTAGCTTTTTTCTCAGCCTTTCAAACCTTAGCTTATCGGCTTTGCGGAACATATATATTCTTTAATATTCCAATCGGGCCTTCTCTGCTAACCTGCAATCCGTATACAATAAAGAGCCGTCTCGTGTTTCGTGTATTACTCAAAATTGGATAACGAACGACACAATGAGATGACATAAGAGAGAGACACGTGACACTGGGAATAGAAGAAGCGAAAAAAAATATATACGTAATATGTGAATTGCAATATATATATATGTATGTGTGTGGAAGATAAAAAGGAAACGATTCCCCACTATCGTAATCAAGTATCGGCAAGGGCAGATAGTCTACTGACCTGACAGTTGTGATACCGCTGAAAGCAGTGACCGTCAGCGTTGCGCAGATGTGCGTGCGCCACGTGTAGGTGGATCGGTAAGTGCGAGGGGGGGAGCGCTGCCCCGCCGCCGTTCTCCGCGCCAAACACTGTATTGCGCCCGGTACTGGTCGACCATATGGACATCAGGCTTGATTTTCCTGTGGCCCTCTTCTAGAGCTGCAACAAGATCAAATAAACGATGATAATGATGACCTTTTGTTCATGCGTTTCTCACTTTTTACGGACGAACAGCTCGGAACCCAGTAAGCACAAATGTATAACGGTTACATTCTCGCAATGTAACGAAATGTAACGCGTAATATAACGTTTGCGAGCGACGCACATGTCAATTGTAATTTCCACCATTCGTACGAGATTGTACTTGTTCGATATGACCCAAATAGACGGTACGTTGTTTGCATCATGGCTGGCATACGTACGTTAAAAAGCGGTCTCGTACAACAAACATTTTGTCAGTACATAAAAAAAAATCATCCGATACCGTGAAGAATGCTGCTTATTTTGCTCGGAAGAAAACGCAATTAATTCGGAATTATTATAGTAATAAGTCAATATTTTGATTCAAATTACGGCGTAATAAATATTTCTTAAAACAATAATAATAAAGCATATTTTAATAAAATTGTTACGTCTACCTAAAATAAACATGCTTTTTTTTTTACAAAAAATCCTTCAAAACATTCATCTTTTTGTCTTATTTTCCTATTTTCCTAATTTCTTTTTGTTTCTCTTCGCTATCACATACTTTGGCCCAATTTCATTCTGCCATTAGTTACACTACTAGTTGCGCAGCGATATAACAAATTGTGATATGTGTATCTTTCCCCTTCTTAACGACCGCGGTGGACAAACATAGAAGCGAGATGAGTCTCATCAAATTCTCGACCGGTACAAAGATCAGCCTAAGCGAGGATTTTCTCGCAAAAATCACCACGATATTATATATTGTTCTGTTTTAGACGTTACTCGTTGATCTAACATTGGCGATATCAAAACCGTGCCAAATCACTAAAAATACAATATCCGTCATCACGTCATTTCTCGTTGTAATTCGTGCACGAAATTAAATCGTGACTAATCGTGACCGATGATGACCGGCTAACGATGCTAATATGTAGATCACCGTCGATATAGCTTACGGTGAATCGCTATTATTTTTATTACCGAGCTATTTCGACAATGGACAGTAACTCTTCGCCAATTGTCACACACATTTGATCACAATCGTGGGTAACATGAAAACATGATACATAAAGAGTGACAGGCTACGAGAGTCCGCAATATCGGTTGCAAAATTAATAAGAAGAAACGAACGGTCGTATTTTATAATGTTGCGCTAACGTTGGTAAATATTGAGAAATTACCATTTTTAGATTACGCGGGCTGCTGATAAACGTCTTCGAATCATGATGAAAATTGGCGCACTGCACAATTCTCTATCTCTATCTCTCCCTCTCCCTCTCTTTCATGCGTTCAAAAGCATGTCTCTTCTCCAGTATTATTGTATTGCCGTTCCATGTCTTCGCACATTAAGCAACACGCGTCAACGGCGGATACAACGGATAATAAACGCAAATAAACACCAGTGTATTAAACTGTACTGAAGCACAGCGACGACCAACAACGTCGACAAGCTACACCGACCACCGCCGAAACCAGTCGATGATCGCCGACAAGCGACCAACATGTGAAACACACGCGCGCGAATCAAACCGAATCCAAATAATTCAATCGAGAAATGAGCAACTTATTGGAATATTGATGCGCTGTGAGGGAAAAAATTTTGATATTTTGATTATATGAAAATAAAGCGAAAATTTAGGAAAAAAAGACTAAAACACGAGCACTCACATAATAGAGGAGACATTACACAGGGTGTCCCAATTAAAAAATGACAACCTCAAATATCTCATAAACAACGCATCTTGAAGAAAAATGTTTTAGACAAAAGTTGTAGAGATTCGAGGGAGACATAAGGTAGTGACCTCAATTTAATTGTACAGTTAATAATTCAAGGTCATTTCAAGACTTTATTTTTTTTTAATAGGATAGTTTCATCAACACAATTCGATTTCTTTGTTCATTTTAAATATAAAAGTACTAGAGTGAGATCAGCGAAAAGTGAATACTTCTCGAGATATTTTACTTTTTATTCTGATACTTACCCTGAATATGAAAATGGCATTACTGGTCGGGAACTGTTGTAAGGTATGAAAGCTGCATCTTTTTAATGCCTCCTAAAGTTTCAGCCATATGTGACATTTAGTTTTGTTTTAACCATCAATTGTAGTACGTTTGTCAGTATATTTTTTAACAATGGAAAAAATCAAATATCATTTCATGATTAAATACTTGAATCTAAAAAGGAAAAACCCTAATGGAAATAAAAACCGACACATTGGTTCTTATTGGCCCAGTTTCTTGCATTTAAAGTTAAACGTTCGTCGAAGATTATTATCATATGTATTGAATAACAATAAATAATAAAACATGTATTGAATATATATAAATCCATTTATTTTGCAAATCTAAAAGGTGTCGTTGAAAATAATAAGAAATTCGTTAAAATATTTTGTGACAGTTCTACCTGCAATTACTATTTGCCAGATTGTATGATTTTAATGTATGTTAATATATGTATAACAAACGCGTTAACTACTACTGAAATATACATAACTCTTAACATTACTGATTGTACTCTTCAGAAAAAACGTAACCTCTCAGACAACACAAACGTCCAAAATCAGGACATATCTCTCAGACATCTTTAAGTTGTTTTTGAGATATTGTAAGATAAGATGTTCTTAAATCGTCTAAAAGGCATCTCATGTCCCAACTTTGGCCTAAAACTAATCTTCCCATCTTTGTTATTGCAGCTTTATTTACTAACAAAAGCAGATGTAGTTTTGCGACATATTATGAATATCCATGCACGTAGCACGAAAGTTGACTTACGTAAAAATAGTTTGTTGACGATGTCCGTAAGATCTGCGTATACTTAAGGTCAAATATCGATTGTAGGTTACCGAAACACATCTATATTGGAAGAAGCACTGGAATTCTCAATTCTCGAGAGCGTGCGAGATTATGGCCGGCATTTATGGGGTGCGTTCCACTATACGCTCGCAACGTCCAAATTAAGGCCTGTTCTGCAATACGTCGTGCGTAGTGGTCCGTTCTTTTTAGATGCGCTGCTGAACTGGTGGTGTAATAAGTTAGAATGAAACGAAATATACTTGTCTCGCTCAATAAGCGTGCTGCTTTTACGGAACAGCTGCACGCTCATTGGATATGACTCGCAAGTTACGTGTACGAATAGTTACGAGTCGATTCAAGAATCGAAACCTCAGTAGAAAATCGTTTCAACGGATCGCAATCGACGGAATGTCTGCGATTGGACGGGCCTCGTCCCGTCAATTTCGCATCGCGCATACATAGAAGGTCGCGCCATCAGTACTGGCGGCGAATATCGGAACCAATTGGAACGCTGTCCTCGTTGTTGCGGTACGCTTATGATCGCATGTTGCGTTGAAAATTATCGTTCATCTTCGACTATTATCTGCAGCATTACGCGATTCGCGAATATTAATAATCGTCAATTGCAGACACGCGACCGATTTCCATAATCGTCAATTAATATCACGTTTCGTGAGATACTCGTGCTCACATCCTTAATTCCTAACCTAAGCGTGCGATCCTCGCTCGAGCATTACATCCCACGTATATTCCGTTCCAAGACCGATCTCATTTCGGTAAATTTAGTCTTTCCAGCACAGTTCTCGAAGAAAGATGCCGGACTTGGAGGATGTACCGTGCCAGGGGCAATGGCAACTCGAGGCGCAGGCGGTGATCAACGACGTGAAGAGCCATGTGCAGGATATAAGGGTGTCTGAGCAGTTGACGAGCAGCAACAAAGCCATCTACCTAAATCTGACCACTCTGGAGAATTTGCAGTTCTGCGTGGAGCTGTCCGCTTCTGGTTTCATCGTCGTCGGTAATCGCCACGACGATGCGTCGAACGCGGATAACAAGCATTTCGAGACACCGTACTGTCTGCTGGAATGTATCAGTCCACGATACAGACAATCCTTCTGCACGTCGCTGTTCGAGAGACTGAAGGAGCTGCGGACAAGATCTCAACAATAGGGCCTGTTTCTGAACACCGGAGGAATAGAGATTGTATTTGGGAATATTCTTTCTTTCTCTCAATGTAGGTTTGTCAATGTGTAGCTGACTGAACTGTTTCTATAAAGCTCTCCACCTATTCGCGCATGTATCAGATAATAAATAGTATGTAATAAATATATATATATATATATATATGTATATATGATTTTTTGTAACATTGTTGCATTTAATTACTGCAACGAATGTAGAGAAACACAGCTACTTATAAAACTATAGCTCAATTACTTTGCACAATTTTTCAAAGTTGATTTGTCATTTCCGTCCTTGTACGTCTTATATATTTCCATTGTCTTTCACTAACATTTTCGTAACACTTTTTTGATACTCTTATATGAGGAATAATAATAATTCTGAGGTATTTTTTCTGTTGCATATTAAAAAAATATCTCTTTGATATTAAATATTCTTTTTTATTTATATTTCTTTTTTTCTACCTGAAGATTTATTTCAAGTCGAATAAACATATTTTCAATCTGAAAAAAAAATATTTTTCTGGAACTAAGAAATATTTCTTTTAATTAATAACATATATTCGATCAAATAATTATTTAGTTAGGAGTGTTAATTTTTAGGAGTAAATTATTTTCTTTCTTCGAATGAAAATTTGTTTGGTTTCAGTAAATATTTTTTCAGTGTATATATGCATAGAATATAATATGTATATCCGAATGTTTTGTTGATATTTGAGATGATATTCAGGACGTTTTAAAGATATTTATTTCTTAAGTTTTCTGAATGGTAAGAAGAGAAAATGAGCACTCCGCCAACTTTGATCTCCGTGCACGTAAATAGAACCGTGTCCGAATGTTTTATTCAATGCGTTTTTTAAATAATAATTTTTAATATTCAATGGTTGACGTCAAAAGTCTGATTAAAAAATCTGACTTGAAAGAATCGCAAACAGCGTTGCATAACGCAATTGGTAGACGCTGAACTAGCAATAGATAGCAGTACAAATATATACATATAGCATTTTATGTCATTGTTGGTGAAAACACTTCGAATAAATCGAATCTGTCTGATCGCTCCATGAGTTCAAAATATGTTATATAAATATATTAAAACTTCTTATCTAATTATACAAAACAAATGTTTAAGCGTGCCAAAATACACGTCAAATTTATCTCTACGCATTAAATGAAAAAAAAAATTAAAAAAATTGACCGTGCTACGCGGCGTTGCTTCCAAAATTTCTTTCTGTCGGGCTCTTGACGTACACTACAGAGAGCTTGAAAATTCAAACATCAAAAACTACCATTTAGAATTCGCCTTGAATAAAACGCTCGTCTTTATTATTTATATAAAATCACCACGTGAATAGAAATGAAAGTCGGTTACGCGTTCACCGTGTCCTCGTGACGTTATACGTTAAAAACGCAAAACAAGCAACATCGAAAGAAAGAAAAAGAGGAAGATACATTTATATATTAAAAGAGATGTCAGCATTCATTCGTCGAAACACCGATAAGGACAGAGTGAGACGATGTGAAGTATCGCGATCTTTCTGTGAAAGAAACAGCAATTTACAAAATACCGCTCAGATATCGAGCTTTAACATTACGCATCTCAACCGATGTACAAACACATTATTTTCGCGAAACAGACCTTATTTCGTGAGCCGTATGTGTGAGTGTTGCGCGCCTGACAATGTCGAAATTATCAACGTGTGTGCTCTTACGAGAGTTCAAGACATCGGTAAAAGGCAAGTACTTCTCGACGTACCTATTCGTCTACGTAGATAGAAATCGAGATGGTGACGACAGTACTATACAGTGATAGTAATGACGATCGGCGATGGTGGGGTTTGGTGAAGGATTGGAAGCAGTTTGCCTTTGCTAAGAACGGCGGTACCATTCGTTCAGTACCGCTCACTTCGCGACGTCTATCTCACCTTCGTAGAGAACGCGTGGTAGCAGGCTTGGGCGAACGCGGTCACCTGTTGCATCAATGTGTAGTCGACGCCGGCCAGTTGCGTCGGTCCCAAACACGGAGTTCGTCCGAATGCCCGTCGAGTGAACCGCAAACAGGAAGTGATTTAAAGGCTGCAGCTAGGCAATTTCGTACGTTTCGGTGCATTCTTTTTCAATCATTTCTTTATATTTTACGTAAGTTGTTTTCTTTATAATATCGTGCGTCTGATACGGTAAGCGTTGAGGAAGTTGCGCGTGTACGATGAACGGCAACGTAAATAATACCACCGATACAAAGGCTGGATCGAAGAAAATGCAGCATCCATAAGGATGTTCGGAAAGAAAAATCTCGAGTATCCTTAAAAGATTGCTATGTAACGTTTTTAAATGCGCACATTGTCTTGGGTAGAAACTGATTGAATTTATCGCGATAATAATCTCAGTGATAAGTGGCTTGAAGTAATAGTACAATATATTAACGTATCATATATGCAATATCGTTAAAAAAGTTGTCACGTTTGTGTATCACGTTATATTGTTACGTGTATGTATTTTTTCGTATACAATTCCCTGAAAACTATTAATAGCACCACATTGACGATCGTCGATGACAATGTGCAATTTTTAATTACGATTTAATCGTGGTGTATAGTCTCATGACAAGCATATTGCAGTATTTTGTATATATATCAATTTTATAATCAATTTTATAAACAATCAATCAGTAATTATAGAATAGCCAACAAGCTATTGTTACTATAATTTATCACTATTATTGTCTACAAAAGTGGACTACAACTAGTTTCTTCACAAATGGTAAATAATTTGCAACGCGAATAAATGCAAATAATAACGCACGTAATATTTTGTCTTAATCTTGTATGCGTCTTCTCGTTCTATGAAATACAGTTAATAATTTAGTCCAATAATCCAATTAGTCTGATATAGTTAGAGTTTATATAATATGTACAAAGGTGTGTATATANGGCTCCGGAGCGGAGCCATTTAAAATTTGTCTTCAAACTCGAGGGCTCCGCTATGGAGACAATGCAAATAACTTTCAGTTCATAACATAAGGACAAAGACAAATCGTAAAAACTATTGTGTATGGGATATTCCGCTCTTGCTATTTGCATTTGAGTTTGAAGAGTTTGAAGACAAATTTTAAATGGCTCCGCTCCGGAACCCTCGAGTGCAAATGGTTAAATAAACTTGATATGATGAACGATAAACGATTCACGATCAAAGATCAGGGAAAATTATCGTCTATAATATTATATATAATATATATATATATATATATTATTTCCACTTATTATCTTTATTTCACTGCTTTTATTTTCTGAATAATATTATAGATAGAGAAATATAGATATGACGTATGAAAATATTTCAGATAATTTTTCTTGATCTTTGATCGTGAATCGTTTATCGTTCATCATATCAAGTTTATTTAACTATTTGCACTCGAGGGTTCCGGAGCGGAGCCATTTAAAATTTGTCTTCAAACTCTTCAAACTCAAATGCAAATAGCAAGAGCGGAATATCCTATACACAATAGTTTTTACGATTTGTCTTTGTCCTTATGTTATGAACTGAAAGTTATTTGCATTGTCTCCATAGCGGAGCCCTCGAGTTTGAAGACAAATTTTAAATGGCTCCACTCCGGAGCCCTCGAGTGCAAAGGGTTAATATTATCGTACGTTACTGAATATATTTGCGTGCGCATTATGTTCTCCTTATATCTATATAGTGTTTCATAAATATCCTACGAAGATATAGTGTTTTATAAATATCCTCAGGAATATTTGAATATTTGTATTTTTTTTATGAATTTTTAATGAATTTTTTTTTAATGAATTTTTAAACATTTATAAATTCGATGAAGCCTTTTCATGTTATATTAACTGTTATCTTTCTAATAGTGTTGCCACAGACTTCATTTGCTTAAATATTTTTAATTTTATAGCAGTCGAGTTAAAAAAAAGTTGATTGCGAAGACTCTGCAAGAAGGAACGAGCCATATCGTTTTCCGACGAGCCCAACCTTCAATAAAAGAAACGTTACATTCAAGAAAAAATTGACAGTGCTCGAACGGCAAAAATGTCGACTTCGCTAAAATTAGCAGACGATCAACGATTTGCATTGATGAAAGTAAGTTCTACGTTTAGAAATAATTCATGTTTCATGGAATTCTTATTGCGGAGGAACGATGCATGAATCAATTAATAACTAAGAATTATTTGATAATTATTTGATAATTCATTGTAAAAAAAAATGGGAATCTAAAAAATTCTTGTCAAAGGTTCAAGTTAATTTTAACGTTTGACAACTTCACGAGAGCCAATACTCTCTATTTTTGTTTATGCATTACGGTACTAACTTGCACTTGGAATATTGAAATCTGCCAAATATTTGAAGCCGTTAGTTTTGAAAAATTATAAATGCGCACGCATAAAAATATTGATAGTTATTGGTATTCACGTTCAGTCGTACGGTAGTCGCGCAAAATACTCCACAAGATGCGGTAAATATAGGCCAATAAATATAGATGAATAAATTGATCATGAATGTAAGTGATTATATGAGTTAATATGTTAAGTAATTATATAAGCTAATATAAATTTATAAATACACAAAAACAAACAAATTTTATAATTTGCACATGATGTAATCAGCGTCACATCAGCCGATACAAGATACAGAATATACATATATATATATAGCGAAGAAAATAGTTTAGAAAATTTTAAACTAAACAGCGACTGAATAAACGATCTTTCCTCAAAGAAACGAAAGGAAACGTTATGTCACGAACCATGACTCATTAGTATGCTATAATTGAAGACGGTCACGGTTCGTAGTCTGTAATGCAAATTTCCCAACATAATTAAAAATGCCATCGATAAGTGTGTAGTTTTAAATTACAATATCGTATCAATTATGTATGGAAAATAAACGAGTAATTTTCGAGTAATTCTTACACGTGTGTCCCGATTGTGAATAATTCACTCATGAAACATGTTATAAAATGTATAATATAAATGTGGTAACAGGGACATGAATCGTGCGCAAAAATATTATTAAATAGTTAATAATTCAATAGAACAATTAATCAGAAAATTAGTTGCTAAAGAAAGCTCATACATCATTGAAATATAGTTTTATTCACAAGATTTTTGAGTTTTGATTGAGAGGGAGATGTTCGTTTTTAACGACTTTAACAATCGTCATTAAATTTCATGCGTCGAAGACGCACACCCTTGTCACCCTTTAACGCTACAATTTTCCCTTACTGAAAAAGGCGAGTTAACAAACATTTCGAAAAATATCGGAATATTCAAGCCTCTTTTTCGCGATGCCTGATTGGCTGTCTCAAAATCTTGATTTCGCGTGCCTTGTATGATGCAATCGGCTATAAACATCAATTAAATGTGTCTTTTAGTTTGATATCCGGTTAACCTTTGTGAATATATGCATATCTCGCACATACAAAAAAATCAGTAATTTCATCAAAAGATTTTGCCTCACCTTCCAGATTATTTTCTTAACAGTTGTAAAGAAAAAAAGAACGAAAGAAAATAACACTAAAATAGAAAGTTTGATTTCGTACGGTCGAGTTTATGCCGCATTTTTTTCTGTTTTACGCTTCAAGTGACGAAAAAGAGGTAACTTTCCGTATGTTACGAGCACCGAACACCGTTTACGGAACAATACACTTGACTCTGCTTAAACGCAACAAGAGACTATCGAGGTTGTAAATGTAGGCAATCGTTCTTTCACAGCGGAGGAAACCGGTTTATTCGCTATATAGCAATCACATTCGACGTATGAACGCCCGATACCTTCGCCTTCGCAAACACGAATTTCTGCTTCTTTCACATTCTCGCCTATAAATGGTGATAGCCGAACAGTTACCTTAAGATGTAAGGAGATCGGTATTTCATCTTTCATATTTCACATTTCCTTCATTTTGCACACGGCGACTAGTGGCCGATCTCTGCTATCGAAGATTACTTTATACTTGCCGTCGGAAAAATATTTTTGTTAATGATTCCCCCCCCCCCAAATGATACTATATATATATATATATATATATATATATGGTTCCTAGAGATTCCAGTGAAAGTAAACGTAGATATTTTCTGACGAGAATTTGGTTGAAACGGGTTAATATGGACCGTCTCGCGTGGACCGTCCCGTAACTGACAGTTAGAAAGCCGACGGGGAAATTTTACTTCCTCGCGTCGAAGACACGAGACATGACGGTTGTGTATTCTTGTAAAAACGTAATTAACAGTTACGTGTTTAAAAGCGTAAAAAACGTAATAACGTGTAATAAAAAAACGTGTTTAAAAGCGTAAAAAACGTAATAACGTGCAATAAAAAAACGTGTTTAAAAACGTAATTAAAGTTACGTGTTTAGTTTGCAAACAAAAAATCTTATTATCGTTAAAATTCTGCGAAATCATCGGACTTGACGGAAAAAAACGTGGCCGTTTTTCTCGGAGGAGGACAAATATGTGCATCACTTAAAAAGACCATTTATTTACAGAATTAGTTCCTGATAATATGTTAATATGCAAATTTCGTATCAATCGCGAAATAACAATGATTTTGCATAAACTTGATTAAAAATAGATAACCGCACGATTGAATACCATTAACCTCTAAAATATATAATATCATGAATATAATACTGCGCTTAAGACTACATATGTGTTTTTTCTTGTAGTTTAGACGATCCGTGCAAGATGTTCTGCAACCACACCACGATGATCATTTTCTGCTTCGTTGGTTGAGAGGTATTGTCTCGACATAATGTATTAGTACTATCAAAGAAAACACGCGCGGTGATTTCAAAGGATACTTTCCTTATTACATATGTAAACAGCGCACATTTGTACACATCGCAAAAACCATAATTATCGTCGTTATATCACATCCATCGTTATTTTAATTTCTCAAGTATCGAAGTAGTACCTATAATTTGAAGCAGTTAAATTGTTTTGAAAGAAAATGATGAATGTCACTAATAATCAACAAGTAGAACTTTGATTGACTTTTCATATCTAATATTTATGCTAAATATAATAACATATTCATTACTAATGATTTTAATTGTATATTTGATCAGAAATTATAATATGTTCGAATGCTATTAGAAAGTTTATGTGCAGAGTAAACAAATTTGTGTTAAAAACAATCCACCGAAATTTTGTATTCTCTTTTAACATGGCGGACGTGTTAAAGAGCACATAAATATAATGTTAAATTAACACAATTCATCTGGTCAATACACATTTGCGTACTTTTTAACGCACTCTCCGTGTTAAGGTAACACAAAATTTCAGAGGATCATTTTTAATGCAAAATTTCTTTATTATGTTTATTATTCCGTAATTGTTTCATATATTTCACTTCGTATTAGTATTGATGGTTTGATAAATAATATTTATCCGCCGGTCACGAATTATGTTACAGAATGTTATATAATAATAGTATAATAATAATATATAATAATAACTTGAAATACACACTCTTAAACTTATATTTTTACTTTCTTTTTTTTTTTTAGCAAGAAAATGGGATCCCACTGCAGCGGAGAAAATGTTGAGAGATGTAAGTACCTTTCTCTCGCCTCTCGACCCCTCTCTCTTTCTCTCCTAATAAATAGATAAGTAGATAGATAAATAAATGAATACATAAACATGCAGCGATACATATCGGAATGCGAAATGATCATTTAATCAGACTGCACTGTCACGGACGCTGATTACATATTCAATTGTCCTTCATAAATTAGAATCTCTTGTACAATGCAATTCACGTTGTATAAAAGGCGCAGACGAGTCCAATTGAGAAAGTCTGGTGAAACACGTTCCGGCTACGGCTACTGAGCCTTTTAAATTTCTCTGCTACGTGTATTACCCACAAGTCATTAAATATTAACGCGGCAAGCACCAACTTCACAAGCGGCACTATAGGTTATTGCACCTTGGAAACTAACTTCTCCTCTACGTTGAACGTGGAGAGTTGTTTCTCGATGAAAAATTTTTATATTCTAAAATTACATACCATTTTGACGTAAGAAACATTAATCTCATTTGACGATTATACATGATTGTTACTGCAGTACTATAAATATATAACATGAAGTTACCTTCATATTTCAAATATTCTTTAATAGATTTTATTAACAAGAGAAATTTTTCATTACATGTAATATACATTCATACATACATACATATGTGTGTAACTTAACCCACATATATTTTGCTACATTTTGTGCTTAAAGTTGATATTAATTTCTATAATTTGTATTGTAGAATATAACGAGAGGAAGACACAATCGTAACTATTTATATATTACTTTTATATATATCTTTTCTTTATATTAACTTTTTTTAAATAGTGCCAATAATTTGCTCGCGTCATTCTAAAGAATTATGATTGAACTCTTCGAATCCACATTAAGATTATAATGGTCCAATTGATGCTTCGCTTTTTTATTCTCCATTACGTTCTGTATGAAATAGAAAGTTGTTCTCTGCACAAGATGTTTTGTAAGTTGAAAGTAATAAGCCAGTTCTTCGAAATACGTTCGATGTTGTCATTTAGATCTCTGTGTAGAGAAGTTTCACAATGATTGAAAACAGGGAATACGTAATGCAAAGTATATAGTATCCTATCAATATAATTTCTTCTTTCAGAAGATTACCTTTCTCACTTTCTGTTCTGCGTGTGAAACCTATCTTGAAACCATTAACTGCAAATTGCGGGAAACATTTCTTGCTCGGTACATTTTACTATCTCCTCTTCCTCCTCCCTCCCTCCTTCTCTCTCTCTCACTCTCTCTCTTGTATTTCACTGGGGTCAAACCATGTTGTTTGATTGAAAAAAACACTATTGTTTAATACGTTTTGATTTTCAAATTAATTTATTGTTTAGCTTGACTATATTATGTAATGTTTAGTTAAAAATTCACACGCACTCATGATGTCACTGGTTGTTAATATACATACATCGATATCTGTCGTATATCAACTGTTGTAAAGTTGTTTCCAATGTTTGCTAAGTATAACATTACAGTGTCATTTTTTTAATACTGTAAATACACATTATTATAAACATGGGCTGTAAGAATATCGTTAAAGCTTGTTGACATTACCAGTTTCTGTTCTGTCATTCAATTTAAACAATGAATACCACGGCTAGTGAAAGGATAGATGCCGCATATAAATGAGCGTTATATTTGGGCTATGGAAAGAGGAATTTTATTATATATATTTCATTAAAAAATTTTTAAGTTAACCTTGAGAGCTCCTCCATATTTGCGCTCAAGAGTAAAATTGGATATCGCCGTTTGATATTGCATTTGTTGAAACATTTTTTCTCAAATGTTTTATTTTCTAGATATTTCATTGGTCTGATACTGTTTAGTCACTCTGTATACGTATTCAGTATTTGGAATATTCTCGAAAATCATTTTCATGTTGCATCGAATAAATATTCGAAATTTCACCGATCTTGATTACAACGCGATACATTATCTTATGTATTCTTATAAGAATAATGAAACAACCGATGTCTCTCATTCGTCTTGTAGTCTCTGGAGTGGCGGAAAAAATGGGAGGCCGATAATTTATCCGAGTGGGAACCTCCCCAAGTGTTGAAGGATTATTTACCTTATGGATCAAGTGGTTTCGATAAAGACGGCGCACCAAGTAATATCGCTTTCCTTTGATTTGCAAAGTAAATCGGAAAATGCAAAAATACGCCGATACTTTGTTTGCAGTTATCATCGTACCATTTGCCGGCTTAGACATGTACGGAATATTGCACGTAATAACGCAGAAGGAATTTATCAAATGTACGGTGAAAATTTTGGATCAGTATTTGAAGTTAGCCAATGAACAAGCCAAGCAGCACGGACAGATCGCTAATCAATTAACGGTAATTTTTGATATGGAGGGATTCAACTTGAAGCAGTATTTGTGGAAACCAGGTATTCGGACAAAATCAAATTGTACTTCAGAGATCGCTTATCTTATAGGCGCGATATATTTTGTTCATGTTTGTTAGTTTTTCTACTTTTACTAACTTATGTGTATTTATATTCTTATAGCTGGCGAATTGGTCATCATACTTATTCAAATGTACGAAGCGAATTATCCAGAAATTCTAAAAATGTGCTTTATTATTAACGGTAGGTTTGATTGAACCGATAAGATAATGAAACCGCAATAATTACTTAATCACGATTGTGATAAAATATCGGCATATCGGTACCGGCCAAAAAAAGAAGGATAAATAAAGCTGCGATCGTTATATCGTCTTTTCTAAAATAATCTTATTGCAGCGCCCAGAATTTTCGCTTTAGCATTCTCTGTAACAAAAAAATTTATGAATGAATATACAATATCGAAGATAAACATATATAAAGCCGATCCACGGAAATGGCAAGAAGCTATATTTAAGAGCATATCGAAAAACCAACTACCCGCTCATTTTGGTGGCACGTTAACGGACTCAGACGGCAACCCAAAATTCACCACCAAAGTAATATATTTCAATCTTCTTGCGTCTCTTCTGGATTTGTGTACAGTTTATATAAGAAATTTTCATACAATTTAAACCGGAGATTTTATTTGCAATTAATCAAATATTTTGTACTAGAAAGATATAAAAGTATATCTTTTTTTTTTCTAAACATAAAATATGTACGCGATGTAACTTATTTTATTTCAACTCGGATGGGTGATCATCGATATTGTTTGTAGATTTGCCAAGGTGGTAAAATACCAAAAGATATGTATGCCAATAATACGGATAAGCTAAGTGAGGAACATACTACTGTGATTGTTCGAAAAGGTGGAAAAATCGAATTTGACGTCACTGCGTCGGAAGCGGGCTCGATTTTAAGGTAAATATTTTCAAAATAACAAGACATTTGTATAGATAATTCGAGTCATTTGTACAGCTGGGAATTCCGAAGCGAGGATCACGATATAAAATTCGGAATCTTAAAAAAAGACACGACAAATGGCATGAAAACAGAAGTTGTACCCATCAAACGAGTTGCGTCCCATCAGTCGGAAGAAATCGGCATATTAAATTGCGAAGTTCCAGCGACTTGTAAGCTGACTGTTGTAGCAATACACTGAATTAACGACGATATCGTGAATTTAACTGATATCGTGAATTTAACGTGGATTAATCCTACATGCATATTTATAAAAATTATAAATATATAATATGTTATATATGTATATTACCATTTTAATTCGATGAATTTATCTGTTTCAGATTCTGTTGTTTTTGACAATACTTACAGCTTTCTGAAGAATAAGAAAATTCATTATTCAGTACGTATTTTGCCACCTCCCGGAAAGTTAGAGGCATCAGCATCTGTCGTATAGTAAAACGAGTTTTATTAGGAAAATATAGCTATAGCAGTTTCTAAGACATACGTTGTTTTCTACTCATATCAAATGTAATACACGCGAATTAGATAAGATAAAGTTCTCGGTGGATATGTAACTTCTATATATATTTGATAGTAAATCCAAGTAAAAATATATTTTTTAGGAACACTCGAATAACATTCGTACAAGACTTAGTTAAATGTGTGTTATTAATTATATCTGCTTTCTTGTTTAAAGTTTACAACTATTACAGTTGTCGAAACCGTATTTCGACAAATGCTCACGTATTAAATGTTATTATTGCAATTACAATATGAGTGTAAATGTATATTTCGATATTGTCTCTCAAGTCTCTCTTCTCTCGGATTATATAAATTGTTATTTGTGGTGCGATTATATTTTATTTAAAGTAGGATATCTAAATAGGTAAAAAAAAAAGAATATGGTAATATTCAGGATATGAATTATATAGCTCCTACATGTGTATATTTATAAAAACTACAAATATATATTATATATGTATATACTCGAATATACAAAGGAAACATAAGAACACTCAATCATCTTCGTCTGTGAGTAACATGTCGATAAGTTCAGGTTTCAGCAACTGATCACCTTCTAAACGTTTTTGAGTACCCCATCTTGATAGAGTTGGTAAAACCTTCAACTTGGTAACAGGATTTGTTCTGAATGGGCAGTTTTGATCTTTCCAACTGGATATTACATGTAAAAGATTAAAATAATACAATTAAAATTATTAGCATGTATTTACTTAGTCTCTGACTTTAGGAAAGTTACTTGTCTTATATCATTGTAATTTAATACAAGGAACAGTTTAAAAGTGCTGCTATCAACATTTGTGATAACTTGAATGAAGATATTAGTAGCATAAATATAAAAGTACATTCGATTGCTTACAATGGCCTGTCTCCAACCTCAACTATCACTAATTGTGTTTTTTCAAGTGCTGTCTCAAAACCTTTCTCAATAAATGGTTCGGCTAAAACAGAATAAAATAAATACTTAGAAACTCAACGTATCTATTTGTATGAAAATTCATTTTCTAAGTTACTATCGCATGAATTAAATTTGGATTCAAATTTGAAGTTCAATCTAAAATATATTTGTCAAATTCTCAACTTTCTCTTATAAGCTCAAATATCATACATAATCAGGTGAAGTAAATATCTGGAAATATTGCTCTACTAAAAACCACATCTTTTTGTAGTAATCAACAAATTATAAAAAAAATTGCATAAATTTTTAAGGTGGAAGCATGCTTTACGACTCACCATGAACACAATCCGGACACCAACTCTTGCCGTTCTCTAATTTTGTGCCGGTATAAAGTATGTAAATTGGCTCCTCTTTCTTCAAGGCTTCGACATACTTGAGGAAGTTTTCGTAGCCTTGCACGTGATAACGTCGAACCATCTTCGACAAGTCACAGCCACCAATCTTACCGGGTGTATTAAAAGGAATGACGATAGACGTGTAAGTTCCAGTTATCTGCACGACAAATAAATTAATAAATGCAGCTTCTTAGCCAATCAAGTGATTCCTAAGCCACTTTTAGATGCACTTTTATCGATAAGAGAGGATTCTGAATACGGGCTCTTATTTTTGAAGGAGGAAAGAAATAGATAAGAGATATGCATCATAACCTCTTCCCAGAATGATTTTTTCGAAAATCCAGACAGATTCAGAAGAAATATTAAAAGCGATCACGCTTCTAATTAGCTTCACGGTGGCATGCTCGAGTTATCGATCAATTTTCCGCACCGTTAGAAATACACGATCTTTCTCGCATGTGTCATTCGTCGTCAACAAGTTTCGCCATATGTATAGAATTTTCCTATTCCTAGGGACATTTGTACACAGCCATTATGCCCGTAACACACTACTGATTAGGATTGAGATTGAAATTTGATCAATCAGAGCAAAGTTCACTAAAGACTCGAGTCCAGTGAAACTTGCTCTGATTAGCCAAATTTCAATTCAATCCCAATCCGTAAACTGATACGGGCCTTAACGATACTTTCGTTGACAGTTACAGATGCGGGCACTGATTGGCTGAGAGGCCACATCGAGGCACTTTTATTGATAAAAATGAGTTCAGAATACGAGCCTGAGCGAGTGTGTGTATGTGAGCTGGTTTCCGAACTTTCAGTTGTGGTGTTGGGTAAAATCGGATTCTCTTAGACGTAGTTTCTGAACGCAGCCCTGGCCAGCCTCGGACAGATCTCGGCTCGCAACGTGGTTAGCTGTGTGGTATGTTGCTGTGTACCCTCGCTCCCTCTTTTCAACTTTTCCACCTGCCTCCCTGCCACCATTTTACACGATCCTCCGATCCGCCAGCGGAATCCGCGAGCGAATACCGAGCGACGCGGTGGTCGCGATCTCGGGCGTAATTTTTTCCATCGCACGTCGACTCGCGCGACGAGATCCTGAGATTTCTGCGATAGCTGTCGATCCGGATTCCACGATATTCATTTCGAGGACGGCCGAGATCCACCTGTCTTCTCGCCGCTGTTAGCTGCAGCGATTTTACTTTGTGTACTTCCCACGTTCGCCTCCTCGTCAGCTAGTGCGACTCGTAATAACACGGTAATGACATTTGCGTTTACGCGCATGACTACGTCTGTCTCGTCAGGTAACGCTCGATTCAAGGTCAGCATCCATCCGCGAAAACATGTTCGCAACGCGTTTCGCGTCCACGAAGTCGCGTTCCTCTCTTTTCGCTCACGCTTTTATCGACGAATGAGACACAGTAGGATGTGTTTTTCACGTGTTCGAGAGTAACGTTGGAAATACGTCTGATCAAACGCAACGACTGTCCGCTTGTTCGTTCGCTCCGATTTTTACATCCCCCCTCCCCTCCCCTCGTCACGAGATTTCGTTTCACGTTTGTCTTTTGCAGAATTTGCAGTGTGCGATACCGTGAAACAACGATCGTATCTGTTCGTAACTCCTTGAAAAGTCAAGATCGAGAGGGCGACAAGATTGTACATATTTCTGTAACGATCCACGAGCGCAACGATGGACGTGGATCCACCAGAATTTCTGTCGAAGGATGACGAGATTCAATATTGGATGGATTTGGCTCATCAGTTGCATCAGAGGTTAGTTGTTGCATCAAGCTTTCACTTATACAAAGCATGGTGTATATTTATCGAGGTCAAAATGCTTGGGAAAAACAATCCACCGTTGCCACAGGAAAGACGATGTTGAGCGTGAGCTGGAAGAATTCCAAGAGAATTCGCAAATGTTAGAGAAAGAATTGGAAACTTCCTTGGAGCAAGCGGAGAAGACAAACAGAGAACTGAGACAAAGGAACACGAGGTTGGCCACAGAGATCGAACAGTTGAGGGCACGATTGGATCAACAGTCCACGGATTGTGCTATGTTTCAAGGAAAGGCGCAAGATCTGCAGCTGCAGCATGAACACTTACTGAAATATATTAGAGAACTCGAACAAAAGAATGATGACTTAGAAAGGGCGCACAGGTATTTCATATGTCTGAATTCGGATTGACAGTTATCATCCGACAAATGATACAAGCGACGATATGTATCTCTTGCAGAATAAATAGGGTCACAGAAGAGGAAATAGAGGCTAAGTTTAATTCAGCTATAGAAAAGAATGCCTTGCTCGAATCGGAGCTGGATGAGAAGGAAGGCTTAAAAGTTATAGTGCAAAGATTAATGGATGAAGTCAGAGGTTGGTCAGAAAAGGCTTTCTCTTGTTTGATGTATGTGTGTTTTTGGTGGTTGTTGTTGACGTTAGCTGGTATCTTGCGATGTTTCAGACCTAAAACAGGAAATACAGGTGCACGAGAGGCATCATGCGGACAATAATAAGACCGTCGATAGAGTTCGTAATATCGTCGATAGCAATAAGCTGCAGGCCGAATTGGAGTCGAATTCACCCGCCAGTCAATTACCACCGCAAACCATACCTCCAAGTAGCACAACAACTTCGCCATTGAAAAGTAGGATATATAATCATTTTCTTAAAGCGAAGCGTATTTTCTTTTATCTCGGACTCGAGGAACCGCTGCCAAATTTAAAGAGTATCAAAATGAATGCAGGCAAGACGAAAATTGTTCAAAATACTTTCGGGAGACTGAGTGATTTGTTTTTGAAAATTAAGTTGTTTAAGCATATATCAACATGAGGAGGCAACTGATTGTGCAACTGAATAAATATTTCCAATTATTTTCCACGAATGTTTTTTTTTTTATAATATTAAAACCGAGTCCGACGATATGGCTGTTACATTTTATTGAACAATTTTATCCGCTTGCAACAAGTATTAACGATATATCACATTGGTTCTTGTTTCGTCTTAGTTGGACACGGGATGGTAGGAGCGGTAATTGGAAACAACAATAACAATGTGAACCAACCATTGCCACCCTGCACCAGAATACTGGCGATGAATATGATCGGCGACCTTATGCGGAAAGTAGGGGTAAGCATAACAGAGCAATACCATTTTGTCCTCTCGTACATACACAGTTTTCTAAGCTTGAGGCATGGCTTGCGTGTTTCTCCCTACTTTTTTATATATAGCTCAAAAATTATATAGTTGCTGTATATGAATTTGATAGTACCGAGCAACTATGTATACCATGATATGAATTCACTGATTTGAGATTATCTTGATCCGACGAGCTCCTTTGACCATATTCGATTTGCTTGACAGCACGTTTCACTCAATTAGAGGCACTGTATGTCGATCAAACTAGCAGAATGTGACTATGCGTGTTACTAAATACATAGTAGAGAGAGAGAGAGAGAGAGAGAGAGTGTTGCGTGAATATTTATCGTTACATTTATTAATAAACGACTTGTATTGTGACGTTGGTAGTTAGTATGATACGGTTGGTGTTTTGGTAGCTTGACAGATGGGTCTGCACAGGCTGTAGAAGAATAAAATGCTTCTGTCCGAGCGAACAAATATCGAATGTCACGTCGTCTAGCGATTTATCGACGGCCCAGACACATGCATCTGTTCGGTGTATAAGGCAACAACCAAAGCCGACCACGTGCAGATCTTCATCGTGATCTCTCACCGTTAAATTATTTTGCACCTCCCTAGGAAGCAGGTCTTTATTTGGTTCTCTTTGTTTTTGCACGTATCCGCTTCCAGCATCCCTGCACGTTCATTGTATAGAAATTTTTCGTTTCTCCGCCTATATATATCATCATCAAAGATTGGGCACCATTTTCTGCTTCTACTATTAAAACATCAACCGAATGTTCACACAGCTTTCAATGCAACATTCCTTATATTATCTCATGCAAAGTATGATATATACAGAGTGAGGCAATAACTATTACCGCCTTTAATATCTTTGAAACTAGGAGAGTGAGAGAAAAATTTATTTAACAGAAATTACATGATGCAGAAGCGGTCGTCTTCACTTTGAAAAACGATTCCGTCTAAAGGAAAAGCGTTACAACCATAAGACGACCGATTTTGTATCACATACTTTGTTAGATACATTTTTCTGTTATTCGTAGTTTTGAAGATATTTAAAGTGATAAAATAGTTATTGCTTCATCCTGTATAACCTTGTATCTTGAAGAAAAAAGGACCAACGCGACCTCACTTCCCAATTATGGAACTCGTATTTTTAGGAGATTTCCAACGCTAATGGATTCTAAAATTTCTGTATCTGCGAAGAGCGAAGTGCATTGGTTCTATTTTTCTCCAGGGTACAATATTAAGTAACATATTCTAATCACGTTTGTTTTTCCTCACAGGCGTTGGAAAATAAGCTGAACACATGTCGAAACGCGTTTCGAGAAGATCAAGCGGTTCGTGATCTCTACAGGTAACACAGCAATCATACTTTAAACGTGTCAGGTTGTGCTGTCGTGTTCGTCATGTATTGTGTATACTCACAAGTGTATGTGTATATATATGTGTGTGTATATACGCCCACACATATGTATCAGGAATAATATCATGTATATGTATATATATGTATATATGTGTGTATATATATACATATATATATATATATATTTGTGTGCATCTCTCCGTCTATTTTTTAGTATTATTATTCGCGATAGATTGCAGAAACGTGTTTTTTGATAAAGGAATCCCGAACAAAATTGTATAAGATAGCAACGATACATGATATTTAGTGATTTAATTGTACTTACTGCTAGTATAATACATGTTCCCATCGTTGATGTTTGCTAATGTCAGCCGAGATCTAAACTTGATATACATTTAAGGTTTTGTATATTTATATAATACTATATAATATTGATCTTCTCTGATTTAAACGCTCAGTAGAGATAAATAATTTCCCTACACAATAATTGACTACACTTGTTAGAGAAAAGAACAACCTTTTTAGTTTATCTTAATAAAAGTTACAAGTTGAAAAGTTATTTATGTAGTGTTTTTTTTATTTGCTCAGTGATATTAAGGCTGGTTGTTTCATAGATGCATAGCTTGTCTGCTTGTGCTTTTTTTTAAACCACGTTAATGAATCAGGTGTACAAATAATTATTATAACACATTTCCTTGATTCCTCTTAATACGTCAGCGCTTCCTGAACATGTTGTGCCATGTTTGAGTACGTTCCAAATTAAATGTACAATCATTCCTCATTGGAAAGGAATTATTTTCTTAAGATTTCTTGATACGGAATGTTTTTTTTTTAATACATCCTTATATATAAATTTAAACTTAAACTAATTATGATCAGAATGCGTGCAATATACATTTCTGTCGCCTGAAATTTCTTCAATTAAAATTTTCATTTTGCGAATCGTAGAAATAATCATTCAAGCAGTAAATAATTTTGCATCGAAGTATATTTTGTGACATAATTGGAAATTATTCTTCAATGAATGGGTTGAGCCACCAATTACTAGACGTACGTATTCTTAGGATTATTGTAACACGTATGTGAATTTTGCTCACATGAGAATTCACTCGAGTACAAAACGCATTTTAAATTTGTGACATGGTAACACATGGTAATAATTGTAAGTTACATGCCCTTAAATTGTCAATAAGTATGCGTGTACATAATGTATATAGATATTAAGTATCACGACAATGTGCAATCGCATTGAAGAACCGCTTCTAATTTTTGTAACAACGCGTAATGTGACAATGTGATGTTTAGATAGCTTCGAAGTAGAATATACATTGTAAAAGACATCCAACTTCTGATTGTCGAACCATCCGTCCATTCATAGTGAGAGATTATTCGTGGCTCAATCTATAAAGAAAAAAAGTTACGTAAATTGTTATTGTTATTACAAAGAGAAACGCTGCTACTTCATAGTTACTCCTTGCATGAAGTCACCGTTGCTTATGTCATGTCACGCCCTTACATGCATAATCCGATAAGAATGCAGCAATGATATCGTATTGCCTTAATTGTATATATAAAGTGATAATTAAATGAAATCATTTCGGAGGAATTCTTAGTCAAGCGAACGACTCGAGTTCAGTGAATTTACTTAATTTTAAATCAGTGATGGAAAATCGTGATAGTAAAGAAGTTACATTTTTTGGTTAACGGTAATGAATATAACCGTTACTTTTGTCATTAAATCAGAACCTTGAAATATCGAAATGTTGAACGACACTACCCGCGAATATTAAAGAAATATTTTATCAAATATACAATACATCACTTCTCCAAACAATGTATCGGTAAAAACGGCTATTTAGCATTGGAAACTCTGTATTAACGTCACATAGAGGATGTCTTCATGACGGTACGATGGGACATCCACTCCTATTAGAGATTAATAAAGAATTTTGGTAAAATTCAACGAGTTTGTGTATTTAATAAGAAACTATTAAAAGTATTATTTTTTAACATTTATAATTTATATACAGTTAACTTTTTAACTTATTTTTCTTTAACTTTAACAAATTATCTTTAATATATAGACGTATGATTGAATTTGTATTAAATAAATAACGGAAAAGTAACGATTCGTTACTTTTCGAGCAACGGTAACGAGACTAACGCGCTTGCGATTGATGCGATTGATCAATTCTAATGGAACGATGAGCGAATTAAGTTAACCGGAGGTTGTGAAACCGCGTCTTAAACAGTAAGGAAGTTGACCGATCAATATAATTCTTTAGATTTACGTATACGAGATAGAAGTGACGAGTAAATTTGACTTTAAGTAGAAGTAACTAGGATTTTAACCGGTTAAAACCGACCCACCAATCACGGTCGGATTATAGAAGAGAAATCAATCAATTATGATTGGTCAATTTCTTAAATCTTACGCTTTATATTCTCATTGTAGACCCCACTTAATGGGACCGTAAATCTTAAGATCCTTGCATTATGTCGGGCAACAGGAACAGAGAATAACACGGGCAATCTATTGTTATTCTTTGTTTCTATTGCCTGGCATTGTGCAAGGACCTTTACTTCTTATCCAATCATCCATATATGAAGGCCTTTAATTAACCCACCTGTCTACAACCTCGCTTCAAGACAGAAGCAGTCCTGGTTCAAACCATTAAATGTTCTAACTAATGTAAAAATGACTCATGTTTGTCTGTTTGCCTGAATTGACACTGATTTTTTTTTCTTGCAATTAATTAAAAAAGCGATAACGAAGGATTATTGCATCTCTGTTCAATTAGGGCTAGACGACAAGTCAGAAGCCCAGCCTCGGGAAACAACAACCACATTCGATTATAAACGAAAGGACGTCGCAGCGATCGTATGTCCGCACACATACATGTCACATTGTGTAATACCGATGTAACAATTAGGTGAATATTTGTTTAACGGTGATTTTTTTCGTTTAAGTTAATTCGATAAAGTTTATACAGAAATCGAAAAGCGCTTATCATGCTAGGCATGAAATCTCTCCTTTTCTCTCAGCTGTAATTTTTGCAGTGTTACCGTTGCCACTATGACTCGCGTAATACTCTCGTTTGTGTTTTCCTCTATCTCTGTTGTAAACGCGAATGAAAGAGTATATTTTATTATAGAAATCTCTACATATATGTGTGTAAGCTCCGCCGCTATAAATTACTTAAAACCGGGAGTTGAAACCGATATATATAATTTCGGTGAACTGAGTTTCTTACGTAATAGGCATATGCAAAGAAATCGTCTCTTATCGTCAAGAATGACAACATGTTCCGCTTCCATCGACGTTCATTTGTGATTAAACTTAGACATAGTCTCTCTTTCTCAGATCCAAATTTGAGCTCGGCGAAATTACATCGGTCCCTGCTGAAATTGTAATATTAGTACAGAGATGACAGGGATGAATTCTATCACATTTCACTTTTTCAAGCCTATTATGCTACATTACTATAGATAAATATATATACCGCCACGCAACAACGTATAACCATTTTAGAAACTGACAATTTTTCATGTAAATAACTGACAACGAGACCGTACGAAATTGAAAACTCGGATATGAACTAAATTTTAATAATTTATAAGGGGGGACTTTCTAAATATAAACATGGAATATTAGATATAAACGGCCGACCGTTCAAAAGTTATTAACGAGAAAGATTTCAGCGTCCACGTAGACCGATGTGGCATAGCCGAGGCGTAAGTAATTACGTTGTACGAAGAATCAATAAAAATTTCGATTTGAAAATTTATTTTGTTCTTATATTGCATCTTTTCGCTAATAAAAGAATTAAAGAATTACTATTTTATTTAAAAAAAGAAAAATCAGTTGTAAGAAAAACCACGGTGAGGAATCGAATCGGACTTACGTTTTAGCAATTAGACGTCCTGCTATGCATCGTTTCGAATTTCGGCTATACTACACCAGTCGTTGAAATCTTTCTTCGTTAATAATTTTGGAGTGGCTGACCATCTATACCTAACATTCTACGTTTGTACTTCGGGAATCTTCCCATAAACTATTAAAGTTTGTTTGAATTTCCAACTTTGTGTGGTCTCCTTGTGAGAATAATAGTAACGCGAAGTACTATTACTTATTCATATATATATATATATATATATATATATATACATGTATACGCTATATATATATATATACATGTATACGCTATATATATATATGTGTGTGTGTGTATGTATGTATATGCATACATATACATATATATATATATGTATAAACCTATATATACATATATATGTGCGCAAATTAGATACTTTTCCTCCTCCTCATTAACATTGCATCAAAAAAATCTTTCCTTTTTGTAGTTTTCTCCTTCCCAAACGTGACATTACAACAATCGTCTATAAAACGTTGGGATAGAACTTTGTAAATATTCGCGTAATTATAATATTGACGAATGACTCGAGGTAATAAATTATTGAGTTGCAGGACAATCTTAGAGCGTATACATTTTTGTAAAATGGATTACGGCCTCAATATCTCGCATTAATGGAGGATTTCTATCTGAATAATGGATTTTTAAGTGAATAGTAAATAGTGAATAATGAATTTTTAAGTGAATAGTGAATTTTGATACTTTTTTAATTCAAGCTATTGGACTTCTGAATATGAAGTTTGATATACATATTTAATTATATCTAAGTAACATTTATGAATTTTATAGGTCTTTATATTTCATAATTTAAATGTTACAAACTATTTTGTATCATCCTTTGTTCTGTAATTCGAAATTATCCAATAGTGGTCCATGCAGATCCGTATAAAAAGAAGTCCTGTGTAAGCGACAATTTCGGATCGTTTCTCATTCAAAAAAAGTGAACTGGAATGTTTGACGAAACGTCGGAAATAAATCTATGAAGGACACAACGCTAACTCGAAAGCCAAATTAAATAAGAACAATTTTTGACAAATTCAAACTTCTCATTTATGTAAATGTTATTTAATTATATTTATATATGTATTTAAAACCTTATAAATCCAATAGCTTTAATAAGAAATGTCAATATTTGTCATCAAAATATAAATAAAAATTCGTCATTTAGACAGGAATCTCTCCTTAATTAAGTCACACTAGGGAATAAGCACAAATATTACGGAATGGGATAACAATAACTCTCGCTTGTGATTTGTAATTTTCTTTTGATCATTTATTGTGATATGTGGCTTGGTATGTTATCACCTCGAGTGTTTCTCATGTATATTACGCATAAACAATGCGGTAATAGAATATCACATTATTTATTAGAAATGAAGATACTTGTGACATTTGTAGGTATAAATTTCGCAAACGATACATAATTTATGAACTTGTAATTTTTAACGCGTAGATTTAATATAATTTGTAACTTGTATTTATTATTGTCCAATAATAAGTGCGTATAAATGTTTGTAAAAATGTGTACTTTTAGCGCTTTACAACCATGTTTACACACACACACACACACACACACAATTCTTTTATTTTTTTAATATTTCGTATGAGTAAAATTTACTGATTGAAGCAGTGTAATTCTTGGCATAACTACAATTGGATTGTAATAGTTATATTATTATAATAACATTGTATAATTAGAACTATCGAAATCAGAGCTAGCGAAGCGTAATTACATCGATTTACGTATATATAGGGTAGGGCATTTAAATTGAGATACCTTAATATAACAGAAATGAAGGAAAATAGAAAGAAATGTTTGAGACAAAAGTTTGTTGGGTTTGAAGAGGAGCACATATTTTGGTGATTTTAATTTCATTGTATTGTCAATAAATCAAGATCACTTCAAAGTCAACTTCATATTTTTTTAATGATATCACGTAGTCTTTTAGTACAAACCGATTTCTGTTCGTTTTGCGTATAAAAATACTAGGATGAAATCATCGAAAAGCGACATTTCTTTCTACTTTGCTTTTATTTTGGTTGTATCAAGGTGTCTCAATTTAAATGCCCCACCCTGTATACATCGAAAGATTATTTTCCTGTTAACTACACGTGCAAAAAAGATACCATTGGCGAATTACAGAATTGTTATAAATGGAAATTATAATCATGTTGTATTATTATAAGAACGTCAAAACCTCATTCAATAAAATCTTATTGATTTAATTATACGCATATATTTACCCGCGCCATATGTTACGTCAATTATACAAATCAACTGAAGATTGACGGACTTTCAGGTGAAGCAACATAAAAACGAGTTGTGCGAATTTAGAAGATTTATTTACGAAATGTTTATTTTTACACAAATTTTTTACACAATGTTCGTGACCAAGACGATTTCTGTAATGCGGGTACAATCAAAAAATCTAATACGTTAAGCACGCTACGTTAGGTCACTATGAGAATATCTTATTCTAGTGCACACTTTTTACGAGTACTAATAATATGATGACCATCATTAACGCCTTAATATTAATGATGATAAAGGAAGCGGATAAAAATAGTGAGAAATAAAAATTGCCGCTTTCTTAAGTCGCTGGGTTTAACTTTGTGGAAAAATTAACGACGTATCTTCCGAAGTTGCTTTGTACAAACGTTATATTAACGTTCGCACACCGACAAACCATGACTAACGCGACTGCAAAAATTGCGCATATTGCAATTACGTCGTGTTAATCTTCCAGTTCAATAACACACGCGCGAGATAATGTCAGGCGTGTCGTCGTTACTGTGAATTTTCCTATGACTAATGACATTCAACAGTTAATCCATCGATAGATAATGAAACGAAAAAGATTAATTCTGACGTCACCGATAGGTAATGAACAAAAACTCAATTCTGACACCAATAAATAATGAACGAAAAGTTAAAATTCCGATATCGATGAATGTAATGATAAGTAGAAAGTTAATTCTGAAACATCGATCGCCCGAGTTATGAAAGAAGAAAGGAAAATGACTTTTTTTTTCTTTTGTACGTTCCATTCAGTGATTGATCCGAAAAAACGATGAATTCCTTTGTATTCAATTCATAATCATGTTCATCTGGCAGAAACCGATGCACGTTACACATATTTTGTATATAATTCTACCTAATATATAAAATAAAACACAATACGTAGTAGCTTGGAATGAATGTGCTTCATCCACGATAATTGCGAACGGCAATTAATAATAATAATAATTAATAATAATAATAATAATAATAATTGTAACCGGTATGTATGGGAGTTAGATAGCGTCTCTTAAGCACGCTCGCCGCGGATTCGCCGGGCTAGCTGGATGTCCTTGGGCATGATAGTGACGCGCTTGGCGTGGATCGCGCACAGGTTGGTGTCCTCGAAGAGACCGACGAGGTACGCCTCGGATGCTTCCTGCAGGGCGCCGATGGCAGCACTTTGAAAACGCAGATCGGTCTTGAAATCTTGCGCGATCTCACGTACCAGCCGTTGGAACGGCAGCTTTCTGATCAGCAATTCCGTCGACTTCTGGTATCTTCTGATTTCTCGAAGAGCCACGGTACCAGGCCTGTTTTATTGCAGAACATAAAAAAATATCACGCTTTAAACATGCGCAAAAATGCGAAGCAGATTTAGGCGTGATTATTTATTCGACGATTTATGCGATATCGGCTGTTGTACTGAGTTTACACTTTGAAAGTATCTTTATTTTTATCTCTTTTCAGTAACGAACAATAACGCTGGCAACGAAACTTCTCGAACGAATATTGCCTGAAACGGCGCGTTTCGCATACCTGTAACGATGAGGCTTTTTCACGCCACCGGTGGACGGTGCACTTTTACGAGCCGCCTTCGTCGCGAGCTGCTTGCGAGGAGCTTTCCCTCCCGTCGACTTACGGGCTGTCTGCTTGGTACGCGCCATGATTTAATCTGAAATGGTAAAAATCCGAGTAAAAAGAATATCCCTCCCAACGCGAACAGTACACAAGTCGCGTTCAACAGCTTCTTCTCATATGATGTCGTATCGGCCTCGCTCGTTTGTTACAGATTACGTGAAGCGTCTCGAAAGAGGCGGCGGTCGAAACCATCTGACGCGAACCACAAAGCGGCGCAGCCGAAGTGCCGCGCGACGATACACCCACAACTAGATCAAAGCTAAGCTCGGCAGCAAAATAGTGGGAAAAGCAACACATAACGGCGGTGGTGGTGGTAGCGAATACGACGCCGCGAAGTGGGAGAGACCGATCCGTTGCTGCTGTTCTCGCGCGCGCGGAAGAACCGCGCGCGTCGAGGAACGCCGTGCGCGTTGCGCAATGCACACGAAGACTTTCGTTCCCTCCGAGGAGGCGAGAAGGAGGAAAAAACGCACGCTGACGAAGAATTCGCGTGAGCCCTCGACTATACGCGGAATACACACACTGCTGAGATCAGCCCGCACTCGCGGGGGAAGAGAACCGGGACGTCGACCGCGTCACACAGCGAAACGATCGCAAAATGGTGGCGAGACGAACTCGTGGAAAACGCTATCACGCTTCGTTTCTCTCGGCGGGATCTCTCTCTCTCTCCTTCTTCCTCGCTGTCTCGAATATTTCTCGCACGATCGTCCCGACGTCCGTTCCCGACGACCGAATTTCCCCGCGTTTCAGTGCTCACCGTTTTCCCGTGCGCGATCTCGGCAACCCGTAACTATACCCACCTCGGACGACGACGACGACGAGTCGAACACGAACGTACACGAGAGCTAAGCTACACCACTATCCGTTTCCTCGTACACTCCGATGGCAGTGGACGACGCTACGTTCTCCCAAGCGAGTCACGACTCTCTCTCTCTTTCTCTCTCGCTCTCTCCCGCGTCCCTCCCCTTGTCCTGAAATTAAATCGCACGAGAGAGCACATAGAGCCCGCGGTGCGTCGTCGGCCAATCCGACGACAGGCCGTCGGCCGGCCGGCGCGTCGTATTGGTCGCCGGTGCATCGAGTGCGACGAGAGTGCCCTGTCAATCGCACTAAATCGTACTACGATACGCTCTCCCGAGCGCGTGCCCCTCTGCACGCTCCCTCCCCCCGTAGCGCACCCCCCTCCCCGCCGAGAGAAGTTCGTTTTGCTCGGATCGGCGCGGAACGCGGCGGATAATCGGCCGCTGCCGACGAAATTGTCATTGGGGGGCGGCGAGTACCGATGGATCGATCGACACCGCGCGCGCACGCACGCACGCGAGAGAGAGAGAGATTCCAGTGAGTCTCGGGAAATACCGCACACACGTCACGTCGTGTACATACCGTGTATCTTGCGGGAGGATGCGCGCGCGCGCATCCGTAAACCGGATGCAAAACAGTGCGCTCGCGGACTCTTCCGGTTCTGCGACACCTAACGTTGCGTTTCCACATACGCGTTATCATGCGTACGTAAAAGCGTGTAGAGGAACCGAAGGGACGAGAAGAGGGATGAGCGATCGAAGGAAAGGGAAGGAGGGGTGAGGAGAGATGCTAATGAAGTGGATGGCCGTGTGCTCGTCAATTCCACACCTCGAGTATCGAAGAGAAAACGTCTAATTAGGAATTTTATTCGCCGCGTGTGAGAATTGCCGCATACGAGAACGATCGGTTGTCCCGATCTCGCCGTGGACGGAACGAGCGTCGAATACGTACAAAAGTGCGGTGCGACCGTAATCGTTCAGGCTTTGCTCCGAACGCGAGATCCACCACGTAAATCGCACTCGGCACCTCACAGCGGCTGTCGTCGTCGGTTGGAGATTCGAGATGCAACAGGAAAAAACAAACCGGGATCTTTCGTGTTTGATGTAACATTCGTAGATGCATCAGATCGCTGTAGCATTTTCGTTATCGCGGGAGAAGCGGACGCCGACTCGGCCGTTCTCGTCCACTGGGAGCGATCCGTGTATCCGTGGATTTGCGTGCATGAAAAATAGTTCCGTGCGTGTAGATATACACGCGTGATAAATTATATTTACGATTCAATTACCGCGCGTTTCGGGCCGCTCGTTATCTCGTCATTCGCTCTCTCTCTCTCTCTCTCATATTCGCGGCTGATATATCTCGATGATGCGAAAGCGATACGCCGATTCGAGAGACGCGATTCAAAGAATCGTCATTGCGGAGAGAAAGGCTATCCGCGCGACAATAGCATCTGGCGTACACGACGGACCGCTTTATAACATCGAGAATATCGACCTGCGATTTCATGACAGACAATTTAATGCCCAGCCCCGGGTTGTACAGTATGTCACACCGCTATATAGCAGGAGCGGGCGTACACGTATGTGTGTATGTACACACACGACGCTCTCGCACGTTGCGCTAAATTTTTGCGCAACGTGACAGCCGATGTGTGTCGTGCAGCCCGGCGCATATAGAGCGCCGCCGCGCGCGCACGTATAATCACTCTCTCGCGCGCGCATGCGCGTTACGGGCACAACGAATCGATAGCGTCGTGCGGTTCCGTGCATCCGCACAGGGGCGCAGGCGCGGACGATTTTAAAGGTCCTTGCACAATGCCAGGCCTAAATATAGCAACAGGCTTATAAATGCATAGCAATTGATACGCGGTTTCTGATGGGTTGGCGATCTATCGCCTGTGTTATTAGTTGTGTTCAGAAGACACAGCGGTTGAGTAATTCGTTAACGTAATTCGTCGAAATTTAGGGATCCCAACGGTAAAGATCAATAATCAATGACTGCTTGTGTTTTTTGAACGCAGCCATTCTCTGTTCCCGTTGCCTGCAAGCATTGTGCAAGAACCTTAACGCATACTCTGAGAGACAATGGTCTATATTCTGAACTTACATTTCATCGACAAATGTCTTAAATGTAGTTCCTAAAGCGGGGTTCACAATGAGAATTTAAGGCGTAAGACTTGAGAGATTGACCAATCAGTCGAATTATAGAAGAAAAATCAATTATGATTGGTCAATTTCTCACATTTTAAATTCAAAAATCATTATAGACCTCACTTTAGATGGTTCCTTTAAAGATACTTTTATTTATAAAGGAACGTGAGTCCAACGAGAAAATCTGTCTTGTGAGAATTAATCGAACATCAATTCTTTCATTGAATGTGTATCGAAATGCGTCGGAGAAAAATATTCAGCCGTGCTGCAAACGGAATGGTACATTCATCACCGCGGATGTCTTATCATTCAATAGACGAAAGTCATAACTGAATGGTGAAGCATCTGCGGCGCCAAGTGTACGTGGAAGTACAACGATGACCCGGCAATTGGATACGAGAAATTATATTATACGTATTGTTGAGTAGGTTTTACAATTAAACAAGTTTCCAGAGCTCCGTTACATCAATTAGAAAATGTATTTCATTGTGCTGTGGTTACAATTATCAATAGCTACTACTACATTCTGGTTTAAGAGAATTAAGATAATTACAACAACCTATATATAGCATAATAGTAAATTCAACATGAAAACAGCTGCTAAAGACAAGAGTTTCGAGAGGTCACACTTTTTTTCTAAATAATATTTAAATTTACTTTAACGCAACAAAAATTAACACCACATACATCGAAAATATAGTTTTGTCGCTGCGCTATCGCTCTCAAGTGTGTCGCTACTCTGAAGAAATAAATAATTCCGTGAAGTAATTTCGAGAGCGAAGGAAGAATAATCTCAAGCAGCAGCTTCTTTCATGTCGAATCTCTTAGATAAGATATATGAGAAAAACTGTATCATATTATACCATCATTCTTCAAAAAGTTCCTGAAACTTTAGAAATGTGCCGAACTAAGTGTGGATCGGGGAAAAAAATGTTATGTAATTATATAGTGACGAACAACCAAGAAACTAAATATATTTTCTAGTGTTTTCGGCATTATATAGACGATATCCAGTCCCTTAATACTACATTTATGAAAATTTATATATTGAGTAAGTAGGATTCATTTGTACGTAAAGAATTATATACGAGTGCGATCTGTGTACTATTACAAAGCAACAGTTGGTAGTGTCGAACGATACTCGAGAAACAAAAGCGCTAATCCTTGGATATGCTTTCTATTAAAGAAAAAAAAAAAGGTACATGCAATCTACATACTTGCGATATTGCTCGTGTCTTATTCCCTTCTCTATGTATCCAAGTATACAAAACTAATTACTGGTTCTGCAGTGATTTCTCTTTCTTGCTGAAGACGAATATGTTTTATATATATATATATATTTTTTTTGTTCCTATTATTTTTTTTTTTCATATACTTATCATTGCACAAATTGTGATTATGTTTTGTTGAATTACGAAATCTAATAGAGGGAGATTGGACGTTATATCTCTGGTCCTCTCTCAATATTTTTATAGTGATTGGCAGTGAGTTAACTATAGTAAATATACACGGAAGAAAGTCAAAATATTTGTTTTTAGTTCGTTCAAAAACACGTGTCCAAATGATAATAAAATGAATTAGAAAGAGACCTGTGTGATCGTGAGTGAATTAAGCGCGCTCGCCACGAATTCGTCGTGCTAATTGGATGTCTTTTGGCATGATGGTAACACGCTTGGCATGGATGGCGCAGAGGTTAGTGTCTTCGAAAAGACCGACAAGGTATGCTTCCGACGCTTCCTGCAGGGCACCGATGGCCGCGCTTTGAAAACGCAAGTCAGTTTTGAAATCCTGCGCAATCTCACGAACCAAACGTTGGAACGGTAATTTTCTAATTAGCAACTCCGTTGACTTCTGGTATCTTCGGATTTCTCTGAGGGCTACAGTACCAGGCCTGAAAAAATAATAGATCGACATAAGGTACATTTTCGGAGGAAAATATTTTGAGTACTTGAATTGCTTATTGAAATGGTATAAAATTAATATATACATAGTGAAACATTAGTTCAAAAAATACTTAATTGCCTCAATTATCTTTCCTAATTTTAGTATCACATTTCAAAACTCACTATACCATTTACCGAACGTTTTATATCGTTTAAGAAGTAAAACAATCATTTATCAAAGACAAAGATGCGAAATATTACTTGTGATTATCGTTCATACCTGTAACGATGCGGCTTCTTGACACCTCCAGTAGACGGTGCACTCTTACGTGCCGCCTTCGTGGCGAGTTGTTTCCTGGGTGCCTTTCCACCGGTCGATTTACGAGCCGTTTGCTTCGTACGTGCCATGACTGAAAATTCGTCAGGTTTAGGTGGCGGAAATTAACTTGAGTAAGTATATATATATATACACATATAGGTACACGAGGGGAGAAGGGGACGGATAGAGGGGGAGAGGGGATGCACAATAAGACCAAAGGCGGGGAACGATTTTTCCAACTACGGAAACGGTATTTTTACGTTATTTCGCGAGATTCGACGCTGAGATATTGCGCTGATCGCACTATTAATCGCGAATACGATGGAACAATCGTCGCGATGTATATATTCGACGTCGGTTTCCCTCCAAAAGTGAACACAATAAACAAAATGGCCGCGCAAGCCGAATGCACTTTTCCAAGGCGTTTGAGAAGGCTAGGAAACATGGTCGGAAAAACGAGAATCTCGTTGCCGACCGCGTTCTCGCGCTTGAAGAACGTTTCGCGAACAGGGCTGCGTGGTAAACCGTGTACGCTTTCAATTGTAATCGCGTTTTGCAACGTAATGGAGATAAGAGAACATCGTACCTGATTATTTCACGCTATTTACTGAGCAACGCCTTTCACGAACTCCTTCGAACAGGACCAAACTTCTTGACACTAACGTATACACCGTACGAGAGGAAGTCGATGACTGTTTCACTGTTTACGGAAAGGACAGAGGGATAGGTGCCTCTTTCCACGCGTTGGCGTCCGATTCGGGCCACCCGATTGGTCGGTACTTCTGTAAAGTCCTTCGCAATTAGTCAGTACTCCGCAAATGGGTGCTTCTGAGAGACATTTGTTTAGCACGTATGTGCAATGCAGCGGTCAGTTCTTTTTAGCTGCACCGCTGAACCGGTGCAATAAGTTAGAGCAAGACAGAATATACTTGACTCGCTTTAATTTATTGCACATTAGGTGCAACGTGCATAATTGCACGTTTTAGAAATACCACATGTGCATTCGGTATTACATACCATGTCCGCAATATCGATGTATGACGTGCGATATCGGTTGCGTTCGTGAATGTCAGTCGTGGTGTGCTTTCATGATTTCGGTGGTAGAGTAGTGAGGTATAGTGTGGTCTTTTGTAGTCTGTTCCTTATAGCTGCGCTAATTCAACAATATAGCTATAAAGAACAGACCACTGGCTGTCGGATAGAGAATTTCTAGGGTATCTGGAGAAAATGTTAGGGACAGTTACATCGGCAAATTCGACAATATTCGTCGTACGACACGTATCTGTACGACATTCTTTAATAAATTCGCAAAAAGTGTAGTTTTCTCTTTAAAATGCCTGTATCACATTTTCGAATCAAATAATTTTTCACTCTGAAAATTCAACTGAAAGATGAAGTTTGAAACGTAGCAGTCGCCATTTTTCGTTTAACTCGAAATATTTTGACGAAAATTAACGACAACATTAATATAGCTAATGTGGTTAAAAACTACAGACTTCAAACTTTAAAGTGCTTCTTAAACAATCTTCAAAGTGTGATTTTTACGAAAATTACAGCTTGTTGAATTTCGCCTGTTTTTTATTATCATGAATGGTACGGCTGGCCAACCCTTGAGTCATACTACTTGAAAAATAGAAATACGTCTAACTCCATTATTTAGTCATATCACGACCTCAGTTTCTCGTTAAGTGGCGACTCGCAACGGAAATTCTAGAATCAAATTACACGAATAACGGGTTTTCAGAATTATTGGACCCGTTACTTCTGGAACCAATTAACGGGTGCAAAAATAACGGGTCTAATAATTTTGTAAACCTGTTATTTCTGTAATTTGGTTCCAGAATCTCCGCTCCGAAAAAGTAGCCAGCAGGCACACATCGAATAATACGGAAAGGAATTCAAAATGGGAGAAAATTTCCCCACAGTGGCTAGATTTCGTAACTTTTAACGACGTGTCGTTGCGCAGCTTTCCCACCATATTATACCTGCGCAATGACAACAATAATAACGGCATTGTCGTTGACAATTACAGAATACGAGTGCAATGCACCTTAGCTGTTTGGACGATAGGTTATCCTCGTGCCGTATTCTATAACTGTTAACGACATTGCGTCGTTGCGCTATAGTGCAACATATGGCAGGGAAAGCCGCGTAACAACACAACCGTAACGTCACGAGGATAACCTCTCGTTATCCCGAGGGAGCCAAGGTGGAATCTTCATGAGAGCACCGGAGAGCGTGTCACGCTCGTCACGCATACGCGAACAGGGTCGCGAAACAGACGCAAATCATCGCGAATGACGCCTGTTTACGCGTGAAACCAAAACATCAATGACCTTGAAAAGACGGCGCTCACGTGATCGCGACGGCTCGTCGCGATTGGGCCGGCGGGGGTATGTATAACGCATATTGTGTCGTGCGCGTCGCACGTCCCGCATTTCTCGGCCAATAGGAGGCTCCGATTTCTGCCGGACGGCGAGGGAGAGAAAGGGAGCGCGG